TTATATTTTTATAATTATAGTATTATAGTAATATTATTTTTATTATAGTAAATTGAATAGCTCTATATCTTAGCATGCCGTCGATCCACCCTGAGATTGAGGAATCAACACCATGTCTAAACAGAACTTGGCTAATGCTGGTGAAATTTATTATGTCAAAGGCATCGAAATGTCGATAAAGGTGCCTTTGACATAATAAATCCTGACTAAGTGATGATCTTTTGTGTTTTAGATTGCCTTCTATGTGTAATACTACTCGATGTAAAGCTGATGCTGTTAATTTTCCATAATATAATTTTTTTAAGGTCTACGGTGTTGGTGTCTACCATCAGCCCGCGTAGGTTAGCCGTTGCTGTCTGACTGTGTTGAAGGTTGGTTTGGATAGCTTCGTGGGGGTTATTGGGGGAGGGTACTGACAGCACTATCATCGCTAATCACCTCCACTGTCGTCCTAAGGGTCGCAGCTTGCAGCTTGCCCTCGATAGCTTCCGGCTTCCTTGGTGAGGTCGTGGTAAGGCTCCAGCATGACCGTGACGCAAAGGTCATTCGCTTTTAGCGCGTCGGAGTAGCTGACGGCGTTGGTATTTGGCAGAGTTTTCCTCCGCTTGCCGCTGCCCTGGGGAGTGCAGGACTCGTCTGGGCGAGCTCTTTTTGCGGGTCTGTCCTGTCCAGGGCTACCTTGCCTTGAGGTTCTATGACAGCTGCCGGCGTCTTAGCATGTGGCGCCCCCGCAGGAGTACATTTCCCCGTGGCTAGACTTTCGTCTTCGCCTCAGGCGCGTCACTGGCAGGGACATCGTTTGCCCTTGCGGGCCCTTCGGCAGCTTCAAGCCGCTTATTACCACCCGAGGTCAAAAGCAGTGCTTACCTAGCTTCTGCTCGGGCTTTCGCCCTGATGACATTTAGGGTCTGTCTAGATGGGTGGGGATGGGTGGTCTAGATGGGACTTGTCGGCACCCTGTTTTTGGTCCTTACCAGGCTCATCCAGACTGAGCCCGGCAGGTGCAGGCATTACTGCCCTCAAGGAGGAGAGGTCGATGGTCGTCACTGGCGCCGAAGGTGCTACCAAAGTCGTAGATGGCGCTACGGTCGGGTTGTTCGCCAGAGGTACTCCTATGGCGAGCCACCATAGCCACTGGTGTGCTAGTCGGCTTCGCGCTTGGGTTGTTCCCCGGTTGGTGTTCTAGCCTCACAGTTGGAGTATTCACCCTCGGTGCCGGCTTGTAGTAGGCCAAAACCTCCTTTCTAAGGAGAGGCCTATGTCTAGCAGTGGACTATTAAAGGCTGTTGATGATGATGATTGATGATGCCGGCTTGGTTGGTTTTTTATTTTTGGGTTTATTAGTGTCCATTGGTGTTTAGGTAAGTTTTTCATCTCCTTGTCCTTCCACCCTCCTTGAAGCCCTCAAGTGGGCACGTAGCGACAAAAGGCACAGCAGGCCAAAAGTAACAAGGTGATATGGAGCTACACCTTTGACAGAAGGTAGCCCAAACTGGGTAGGAAGATTCGGTCGTCCCACCTGTCGTCCACCCCCACCAAGGAAGAGCTCTCGCCCAGCAACCCTCTGACGGGATGCTACAACCGATTGACCAAAGGTGGCTAGCCTTTAGCCTCCCTTGTTAGAAAATATCCCTTCTCCTTACCCTCAGTCTCTATTAAAGGTGAGGCCGCAGGCACCGACCAATTAGTGCCCGCTGGAGGTATGGATAGCAAAAATGGGAAGGGATGGGTTTGATGGCATGGAATTGCACCCGGGTCTTTCAGTTATCTCTGTTTCGTATGGAATCAATCTAGAACAAGCGGCAACCCAGACCATGACACCCAGACTTGCCATGGAGATCTACTAACTGTTGCGCTCTCCCCCATGACCATTCTCCGTGCACGCCCTCCGGACAGGAGGGATTGTTCAACATTTTCGGATTCGTTTAGACTCTAGTCGATAGTTATTGTTGATCGTTCGATTAGGTTATTGGACGTTAGCGGTCAAATTAACTCGCTAATTAAGAAATAACTACGCTCATCGCTAGTATAATAAAGTTATCTAACAGACATTCTTTACCTGAATTAAGAGAAAGGAGTTTTATTTTGCAATCCCGTAGACAGTGTTTGACTTGCAGGCTTTAGAAAGTTAAACCGGTATAATTGAAAAAAAAAAAGTGTTTGTTTAATTAAATAGACTGATGATTATAAGGCCTGATGTCAACTATCTTTAGAGTTCCATTTCACAAATTAAACACTACATATCTCATCACTTGTCACCACATCACTTGTAGAAACACATCGCTATTTGACCTTTATTTCAAATTGACGTGGAGGTATCAAAGTGAAATTAACATCAGCCACCTTTGTTTGTGGTTCTTCGAAACTTAAATAACTTACAAACCAAATAAATCAAGTTTAAAAAAAAAAAACAATAGAAAATACTGCCTACAAAGAAAAAAGTTAATAATTTTTTGTCATATCACTTAAAAACTTTTAGCAACTTCTTTTGATTTTTTTGCATTAAGTATATTTAAGGTGGCAAAGTTAAGTTTATAAGAAACTAAATTGTGAATTCTTTTTTGAAGTTTATAATAAAACTCCGTATTATTGCAGAGTCTTTAAACATTAAATAGTTTTCATTGTTTTGAACAAATATCTAATATTAAAATAAAAGCACATAGATTATGTTTGCATTAAAGATTCAAATATTGTGATTTATTCGGGATAAATACAGATAAGATGATGGGATGTATGTAGTTCGACTGACATACCATTGCACCTAGCCGTTTGTCGGCTTTTCATACGAAAAAAAGGAAACGACAAGAAACATCCTTCACTTACTTCATATTTGCACGAAATTATTATTATTCTGCAAATAATCCTATTAACAGATAAAGAACGGCTAAATTGTGGGTGGGTTTGAGTGTGCTTCAATAGGCAATCATCGCCTTGAGCTGATCCAAACCTGATTGCCAAGTGACTTTATTTCACTTCTACTCGATCGTCATCGTGTCAGCGTTCAGCGCTACGATTGTCTCGCATTGAAATCTCCATCAATCGCAACGCTAAACGCGCTCGCCGTCGAGAGTGAGTCGATGTGAAATAAATTTGCACTCGGCCCTCTGGTCTCAGTTACGTTTCCGCATGATTGACATTAATATTCCGTATTACGTATACTATTGGCTAGTACAGCAATGTAAACATATTAATAAATATTAAAATATAAATGACTAGATATAAGCTATAACGGAGCTTGTCATGTTGAAATGTCAAACAATGTTTTTATTTTTATCCTAGCTGGTACTCGCGACTTCGTTCCCGTGGAATTTGAAAGGTGCTGACTTAGTGGGCTCGATTTTCGGACCGGGCAAAATATTTAATGGTTTTTCTGAGAAAAAATAGCCTAAGTTACTCCTTATCTTTTCTCACCTCTCACCTCACTCCTTATCTCACCTTTAAAATATGGGCCGTAATCAATCAATCAAACATCTCACATTTCTTCATAGCATACTCCAAGTAAACATAAAAATGATAAAAAAAAACTTTCAACAGGTGGATATATAGAACCGTCATCCATCTGTCACTCGTAAATCGTCAGAAACTATTGTCAAACTTGACTTTTCTTTATCTTAGTAGGTATTGGAAGCAAAATTTTTTTTCGTTGTCGGCCTAACAATTGTTGCGTTATTTAACAGCGCCACTTGTGTTTTTTAAGCTATTGCATAGCTTCTATCGCGGGCCTTGAGCGTGGAGACCGAATCCAGAAATTCCGTAACGAAAATAACCTAACACACCCCAAGCATTGATATACAAAAAAATTGATATACAAAAAGGGTTTTTTGTATATCAATGACCCCAAGTGATACTTTTTAGTTTTGCCATCTATCGACGAATATCACGCTTGTCTCTTTAGTTCAGCAACTCGCCTCTATTAGCGATATTGGTTGTATCGGCGTTACTGCCCATGCGTAATCCCCGTCTTCGCCCCGCAATCTAATTAATATCAAAGAAAAAAAAACAAAGGAAAAAAAAACTGCATAAATAAAATTATTATAATTGCATAAGTTGATAAAAAATGCTATGCAATAGCTTTACCGCGGCAGTCCCCGAGTGCCACACGTCTTTTTTTTATAATATATCCTCACACACGGCCTAAACTAGGCAGAGCCTAGCAATATATCAAAGTTAAATCGATGTAATCTCAAAATTGAAGTGGCTTAAATTATATTTTGTATATTATAATCTTTGTTCTTATTAAGTCAATCCGAAAATATTTGGTTCATAGCTATCAGATTTTTTTCAAGAATAAAAAACCATTATTGTACAACTCCTTTGAAGGAAAAACCCCGAACTTGGGAACCCTGGGGAATACACACATGTATGTACCAAAAAATTGTTTCATATTCTGCCATCTATTAGGACAGTTACTAAATACTAATGCCTTAAGTTTTGGTTTCGGCGAAAAAAAATTGTTGCTACTGCCATCTATAAAAATATTTTTTAAGAAAGAAGTACTTTCGTTCTAAGTTTGGAATTCAGTTGTATAGTACCGGTTAATCCAACAGAGGGCATTACTAGTTTCAAAAGTCGATAAATGGCTGCGTGCGTCACACCACTGCCTGCGCAATCAAGCACGGAAATAAAATAACAGCTGTTCTACAATATTCGCTCGGGCAACTCAGCAGCAGCTGTACCACGCAACCGTTTTCCTTGGGATTGCGATTGTGTGGACATTGCTTTCTCATTGTTGTACTATTCATCGTGTAGTTTGGACTAGTCTTTCACTTAAATTTCAACGTATATTACTAAACCAGTAATAACAGTATTGGCGTTTGAAGTGAGTGAATCATAAATTTGTAAGCTACGCTGGCGCTATGTTTACCAAAATTCCTCGTTCGTTGTTATTGTGATTCAAGTTGAAATGCCTCGTGAATACGTGGACCGCGAGGAGAGTTCCGAAGTGTTATGTTATTAGAATCTCTTTTAGATAGTGATTTTAGAAAAAATAGCTCTTGATAATGTCTAACACGGTTCCGACCAGTTCTGCACTCAGGGCTTTAGCCTTAGAGTATAAGAGTCTGCAGGAAGAACCCGTCGAAGGATTTCGAGTGAAACTTTTAGGAGAGGACAATTTATTTGAGTGGGAAGTCGCAATCTTTGGCCCCCCAGACACGCTTTACCAAGGTGGATATTTCAAGGTAAGATTTAGCATAATAGACATCTATCTGGATTATCACGAAATTGAGAGTCTAAAATTATCAAGCAAAGCATTTAATTAACAATCTAGCTTCTGACTCAGATGAAGTGAGTCAGCACTATACTAAGTTTTGCTTTTTATTTACATTACCTACTTACTCATGTAATGGTGTTGGGGGTATATTTATAAAATTTAAATTCCACTTGTGTGATTTAATATTAGTTAGGTTATGTTCTTCTATTCCGACCTTAGACCATCTAAGTAATTGTTTTAACTGTTACACACTTTCAAATTAATGTAGTAAAAGATTTATTTAGATAAATTCATGTATTTAAGTATTTATCATTGGCTCTATGGTTTCTCCAACTATTACTCATTCTATTCAATGTGTAAATAAGTACATAATTTGTAATTAAACATGTTTGTTATGTGTATAACATACTTATATCTTCTAAATGATTTTACTGTGTGTAATTAACTCTTCCATCCTGTTTATTTATTGTTACATTATGATTTTACTTATTTCAAATATTATTAAGGTAAACAATGTTAATATTGTTTAATTAAAAAAAACATCATAAAAAACACCTCTAAATGAATATGTTGTTATAAACAATGCACTCTTCGTAAGTTTTCAGACACTTCTTTCCCAGATAAACAGTTTTGACATATTATATTGTGACTGGCCTTTATGTCTAGTGGTTAGTAGACATGGAAATTATTGTTACTTTTAAATCATATTTATTTGATGAAATGATTAGTTTTAGTTACAGGGATTTCACATGTGATTGTGACTTCGTCATAGACTGAGATAAATGCCATTAAAATCAACCAAAATTATTGATTATTTTATCAAACATTTCAACTATTCTTTTTAAATTTAGACCATTTGTCATAATAAAAATTAAGTCGCAATGGTTTTGTAAATCAGTCACAGGTGTGATTATATGAATTACAAATCATATGTTTTGCCACATGTGATTGTGATGTTATTCTATCCCTTGTGGTTAGTGATCCTGAGTGCTTAGCCAGTAGTTGTGTGTTCTATTCTCACTGTCCGGTAACATAACACTGCACACTGCATAACAAGGCTCTGCATAATTTGAAACCAGATGGGCCTGTAATAGAAAATTGAAGTTATTTATTATTTATTTAAATTAACATTTAAATTATCAAAATGGTTCCCTATCACAAAGTAACTATGAAATATATAAATTTGAATTTACAGTAAACAACAAATTGTGTATTTGTTATCTTTGCATGATACAGTTATATGTATATACAAGCAGCATCATCAACCTGTATAATACTTGGAAGTTATTATTGTTCTCAAGTGAGTGACTTTGCTTCTATTTATTGAGAATAAGGAATCTTTAATCACATCATACATGTCAGCGTGATATAATAATGTTTAGGAACTAATTTGACTTGTCTCTGGGTAAGAAAGTTTGGCCATCACATTGTAAAATTTCTATTCTAATCATTGTAAAACATACTTAAATCCATAAAAAAAATGTATCAATTTTATGTCTCTTGCTTTCTTTTCTGTTTATGTTAATTGAATTTAAAAGTTTAAACTAAATAAATAGATCACTATTTCCACTTCAATCTCCTGACTCATTCCCCCTGGGCATTGTATAACACTCACTATTCCAGTTCCATCCCCTGTGCTGGGGACTCAACAATTACTAATAAATTTATTTCCTTTTTAGTCCCGTCTACTTTCATTCTAACAAAACCCAAAACAAAAGGTTGATTAAATATCAAATATAGTTTAGTTAATTCAAACATTTCTATCATATAATGACTAACTGAAATATGCGTTTATGCCGTGGAGCGCGCGCCCCCCTTAGGGAGTGGAATGGGAACACCATGGTTTCCACAGTCGAGGGGGTCATAGGTGGTATCCGAGGGTGGTGGGTGTTCCGAGTTGAATTTTGATTGTCAACTAGGGGATCGAAGTAGAAAAGTTAGTGTTGTGCAATCCCTTGGGGGATTGAGTCAGGGAAGTAAAGTGGAAAGAGAAAAATAGATACCTACATTATAAATACTAAAACCAACTTAAAATTAAAGCACTTATTGCTGGCAACTACTTTATTTATCTAAATAAAAATATGTATACAATTTTGACTATTATTGTAATTATTGGGACTTGATAGTCAACTACCCTATTTAGTATGTTAATATTGAAAAAAAATAGACTTCACACCACTGACTACTTGATTACACCTGCCCATCAACATTCACTCATAATCTTTTGCTTCAGAGTGCCTATCAAGCAACCAATTTCATTCCGTAGAAGTCTCAGAAGACATTGGCAACTAAAGTTTCAAATGTCTTTTCATAGACCAGGACCATACCCCTCTGTGGGCTCATAGCACCCACTGTGCTACATATTTTAAATGTCCATTATTTAAACTTTGAATGATCGAAATTTATGTATCTTTGTTCAGAACATTTTCTTTAAAGCATTTTATTATAATAGGGTGTTTATTTATTTTTTCTTAACCACTAAATGTTTAAGTTATACTTAAAGTGTAGCACGATTTATCCTCGATTATCAAGTTAATGATTTTGTTTATTGAATATCTTCAAAAGGACATTAAAAATAAATGATTTGGAAATAGCCAAATATGACAGTCATGACTTAGCATTTCATACAAAAATGTACTGTGTTTATTGTTTTGACTTTGAATAAAAAGATACTGATTTGACTTTACAGTCATCTATCCCAATCTCCTTTACCTGGCTAGCAGTAGCAAATTCAATGGTACTAGATAGTACTCAAATAAATTGATTATAATAACCACTTTTATACTGTTTACTACAATAACTAACATAGGATATAAATTACCTTTTTTTTTGTTGACGCGGTGGAAAATCCCTTCGGATCTCTGGCTCCGTGGGGATGTAGGAGCCCTGAGTATGTGATGTTTCCACTAAAAAACACCCCGACGGCCGGACTCAGGCGCCCTACTCCGAGGAGGACCCGGACCATGTTATTTCAGGTCCCCTCGGCTCGACGCCGCGCTAAGCCAGGCCCTATCCCGGGGAAAGAAGGCTTTCCCCGCCTATCGGCCAATCCTTGTGATAAGATCGCATTTTTGCGACCAAGGCGCATTCCTATCGCCTACCGCAGCAGTTAATCTGCCACCAGAGGTCCCCACTCTCTGGCAGGCTGCGTCCTCTACGCTCGGGATCGGCTATCTCACGATCCCGTTCAGCGGTCTCTTTCTGAAGCATTACAGCTTCACAGAAAGAGACCACTGCGCCCCATCCCTCCTCACCCGCTATCATGGCAGCAATGATTGCTGCCGGGGACAGTTCTCGTCCGATTTGGTCGACCAGAACCTCGCGGTCAGACTCCCATGCGGGGCAGTCTTCCAGCGTATGCTGGGCGGAGTCCCAGTCGGCTTCGCAGTGCTGGCATTGTGCTGTCTCCTCGCGTCCAATCCGATTCAGGTACTCACCGAAGCAACCATGCCCAGTGAGTACCTGCGTCAGTTGGTATGTGACGCGACCTCTAACCCTACCTACCCAAGCGGATATAAATTACCTAAGTAAATTGAATTACTTAAAACGGAACAAGTCTTTTAGTTTTACATTTCTCTCTACTTTCTTTGACTTTTAAAAACAATATCAAAGGCAACATTCACTCACTGTAGTCACTTAAAGTTTATTGTTAGTTTGAAATAGTAATTTATGAAGTAGTTGAAGTTTTAACATTGTACAATTTGGTACCATTACCTCACACAAACTCAACCAACAAACCTACACTTAAAAAAATAATTGCAAAGAGGAAATTGCAAATTAAACATATATATAACACTTTGGCTGCACGTATTAGATAATCTGCAATTAACTCTGTAATTAGCACAATACCAACTTTCAGATTTCTACATGACTGTATAAAAAAATATTTTTGGAAGTGCATAATAAACCAGCTAATTATTTATTACTGCATGGTTTGATTTCCTTTTGGTGAAAACAAATGTGTACATGACATATATCAAGGGCCTATCGTATACTTCTACAATGGATTAAAAGGCACAGTAATTCACACGGCAATGACGCCGCAGATGAACTGGCCAGGAAGGGATCCTCAACTCCGGGCCAACCATACTCCTGCCGATGCCTTTGAACCAACTTCGATCATGGGCCAGACATGGTACTTATGTAAAAAACTCACCCGGCTGCAGACAGTCCAAACTGGTGCTGACTGAAGTCTCACCACGACTTACTTGCAGACTGATCAGTCTTAGCAGACTAGATATCCTTTGTAAAAACTATAACAGGAGACCTCGCCCTAAACTGACAACTATTCACCATTAATGCGACGGACAAGACAGCCCTCTTTGCAGCGGATGTCTGAAAGCAATAGAAACGGAAACGCTCACATAACCCTGGAATGCGAGGTAGTGGCCACACAACGAGCAAGTATCATACCGGATACAAAATTGCTCCTAAGAAGTCTATAAACACCAAAGGAGGCTTCTGCCCTTCTCGAAGGAATTCGGTTGGCTCACCTATTCAACCTTACCTCGACGCATAAATGACCTTTCTCGAGTCTAAATGCGGAAATCGGAGCCCATAAACAATACCAAGGGCCTTTCGTCATCCACGATATAATTTCACCTGTTGTACTAGTTCCCGTGATAATGTGAAGATGTAAGTTAGGTGTGATCTGACTCCTCCGATCATGAAGGTGTCATTCTCTGTCCTCGTTTATTCTCAATTTTCCATCTATCTCCTCACTCAAAATATTTATACTCTCATGCAACAACATAACAGAGGCTACTTCAATAAAATTACATACAAACTATCATCATAAACAGTCAGCACGATCAGGTTTTTCATCTAAAATCTTTTATAAATGAATTATGTGTTTAAGATTGTAACCTGTTCATTGAGAGCACTCTTAGTGTGCAAATCCTGGTTCATAGTGTCGACAAAAAGTATGATGAACCTACATGGTTATGACCTTATATCGGTTCAAGTTTTTTTTTACATTTTAGACGAAAATGATTTGTGCAGACCTTTGTTACCCTATTATTGGTTAAGATGATGTATGCTACTAGGGCCTAAATATAACTTTTTTTTATTGAATAAGGAAATGGGACTATGTCTTCCAACTCACCTGATGGAAAGCAACGGTGAAAGCCAAGACCTATATACTGTATAAGCCTATTCATTTGAATCATTACCATTTGCCGAGTTTGTAATAATAATATGATCTTCACCCATTTTAACATTCTAGACTTGGCGACTCAAACCCAAAAAGGAGCTGTAAAATCGTTTATTCCGGCTTATTAGTGTTTCTTCAATGAAAATGTCGATAATTCACTTTCGTTGAAGAGATCTCCAGCACACTCATCAAAGTGAATTCTAGAAACCGATAGTTGTAGTTTAAAAACTGACGTTCGGTGTGTGCACAGTGATTCTGAAGGTGGACTAGAGTAAAACAGACAAGTGTCAGTTGACTGGTTTAACTGTCTTTCTTTCATGATTTTCATTTACAGTCCAGGTATATGTATAGTTAACAAACTCTTTAAGTTTAAATAGAGAAACAGAAGGAAGAAGAACTATTTGTTTGTCAAATGATTTCAATATATTCTTTTTTTTGACGAGCTTCAGTGTCATAAATAAAAAATATTGGATGATGGTATGAAGACGAAACGGCGCAGCACTTTTCTGACCTCGTCAACCGATATAGTTATAAGTTATAACTATCTCTTATATTTAGTATAGGTGTTATTGAGGCCTTCACATTTAGGCGATCACGGGGAATAGCCGCGCGTCGAACGCGCGTTTTATTTTTATAAAGTGTTTAGTGTCTATGTCCAGCAGTAGACTGCGATAGGCTGATGATGATGATGATGGTGTGTACGTGGTGAACTCCCGCGGCGTACCTGCGTTGTTGTAATTCAGTTCGTATTCTTTGTATTTTTACACGCTTTATATTAGCTTCACTTGTATGTTTGTTTGACACCGACTCCTTTGGGCGTGATTTTGACTGACTTTAAACGGTCAGAATTCGTTCAAACTTTGTAGATATATCGAGGAACGATGACAATACACTAATTTAAAAAAAAAAGCGTAGGGTGCTTTTTACTATTGACAACAGGCACCCAACGCTTTTTTTTCAAATTTATTTTCTATTTTTTAGTTTGGTTTTCTATAGAAAGCGTGTTTTTTAGTTTTTTAAAACTATAATTTTTTTTAAATGTTGTTTTGACAACTAAGGTCTCACACACAACACTGCACAAGCAAAAGGACATTTCGAAAGTCGTAATTCGTTGTTATATTAAACTAAAAATTGTTTCTTTGTGTAATAAACTTATTCATATCCATTTATTCTGTTACGTATATTAATTAATGATAGAGATACTAAGAGTGTGTGTGTGTAAGAAAAAAGAGGCAAAAAAATTTGAGGATCGATTTCAGAGAATGACGAACCTATCAGCAAACCTTTTTCGTCCATAATTTTTTTTGCCACTGTTTGTCCAACTGTTTAAGTAGTTTCTTTTTTAAGTAGTATTGGTAAGATTTTAGTGGTACGGGCAAGCATTAAAAACAGGTATAGAAATATTTTTGACAAATGCCAATGTGTTTAAACCAATATTTTGTCTCAAAATTTTAACTCATTATTGAACACTAGTTAACATAGATCAGTGTCGTTGTAAATAGATATAGTGTTTATTTATTTATTACGCACATAGTATGTAAATTATTGGCCTAAATATTTCTACAATTAAAAAAAAACATATATAGTAACAATATATATGGCAATATCCTATACCAACCCGTCTGGCCAGCGTGGTATAGAAGGCCAAAACCTCCTTTCTAAGGAGAGGCTTATGTCCAGCAGTGGACTATTAAAGGCTGTTGATGATGATGATGATGATATATGGCAATAGGGATGGACCGTTGGATGCTGGTAGCACAGGACCGATTGTTGTGATGCGAATACGTTTCGTTCCAAAATACTCCATACTGTGCTTCAGGTGCGTTCTAGACTAGTCACAGTTAATATAAAGAGCGACCGTAGAATTAGGGTTAAAAATATACTATTTTTGAAGTAAGTATATTATTTTTCTATAAAATACTAAAAATAAAAAATGCAAAAAAAAGAAGTAAAATTATCATTAATTAGAACATGACAAGTATTCGTTACACGTGCTCTTATGGGTAAATTTAGTCCAAGGTTATATCTCATTTATATGGGGTACTGAGATCTGTTTATAGGGAAACATACATATAAGATATAATAAATAATATAGTATATAGTATAGGCTGTTGATGTGTGATGTGAAATAATATAGATTGTTAATATTCCTAATTACACTGCACGTTATTGAGGAAATTAATCAATGTGTCTAGCCTCTTACCTTTTTGTATAAAATATATGAATGAAACAATTTCCAAATAGCCTTTAAGTATATGCTATGTTTAGATATTTTGTAATAGACTCCATTAATAGCAAAAGTTGACTATTACTTGAACAATATTGTTTTTTGTTCCAGGCACATATGAAATTTCCACCGGACTACCCATATTCACCACCATCCATCAGATTTCTAACTAAAGTATGGCATCCAAATGTATATGAGGTGAGTAATATGCTCTATTATGTTATGCCACAGATTACAATTAGACACAATTGTACAAAGTAGTTAAATAAATAGATACTCTATTATCAACTAATTAAAGTACCTGCAGTTTTGATAGTGGGCCTTGATGGTGTAAGCCCAACAAATTCTATCGTAAAATTCAGAACCTAATATTTTAACCGTTTTTAACTAGTTCTCGCGAGATTAGTCTATACGCTCAATTCTATGGTTTAGATAAAAGACAGGTAAGTAATATAAATAAAAATAAATAAAATAAAAAAGCCTTTTTATTTCCAGTAAATTTTACATTTCTTTAAAATCTATGTATTAGTTTTATTTAGTTTCTTCTATGTTATTTATTTTTGTCTTATTTAATATAATTTTATATGGATTTTATGTCTTCACTATTATATCATAGTATTTATATTTACAAAATTTTTATTTAGTCTACCGGAACCCCAGAATGGGTGAAGGCCTCCTCCAGTGATGCCCATTTGGCTCTGTCTTCACCTACTTGTCTCCAGTTTGAACCAGCTATTGCTTTAATATCATCCTCCCATCTTGTAATAGGTCTACCTCTTATTCTTTTGCCTAGTGGGCCGTTCCAGAATGTTACTTTTTTGGTCCATCTATAATCTGTTATTCGCGCAACATGTCCTGCCCACTTCCATTTTAATTTCTGTGCATAACTCAGAGTGTTTGTTGCTTTAGTTATTTTTCTTATTTTAGTGTGTCTGTAAGTAATATATGTAAATCTAAAATAAGCAACATGTTTGTTTTCCTTTCATAAATAACTTATTCTTTACTGGGTGAAGCAGATACTTATATCCTGCAATAACTGTACACTGTATAATACCGTGTGTTTTTACTCGAAACTCGGCTTACAGCCGGTTATACAGTTTTCGTGTCGTGTGAATGTTACCGTTAACTTTTAGAAGCATAAATTGCGTCGTCGACACAAAATAATGTAGCAACTTACATTGTAAAGCTGTCGTTATTGTTCATAACTAGCTTGCTTATTGATTCTGTAAGTGTATCGTATAACGATTACTGAACAACGGTACACAATAAATGCTCCTAATGAAAGTCAAGCTTTTGTAAAATGCTATGTAGGTACCTACTCCACTTTCTACATACCGTTGTTCTCATTAGCCAATGAAACATATACGACAGACGTATATTAAAGAAGACAATACTAAATTAAAGGAAGATTTTTGTCACAGACTGTCGTGAATACTGTTAAGTTTTTCACGCTTAATTTGAATTTAGAAGCCGATGAAGTATTTTTTAAACAATTTGATGACATAAATGTCATTGGACATAGTACCTACAAGTTGAACGACCTTCACCTGAAGTCACAGCTGATTGTAACCAACCAACAATTTAATATTCTTAGAATCAATTTATAGTAACAAGCTTTTAACGTTGTCTTTGTTCACACTGTATACATACACACTTTGTGTCCCCTGACCGAGAATAAATTGCAAAACACATTCTTCAACATAATTTTATCATACTCACATATGTTTCCAGCTCACTCTTTATTCAAAAAAAAACATATTTTTTGCCAAGAGTATTGTACGAGGGTGGTCTGAAAAGTTTCAGACCTAACAAAGATACAAGACCTTTTTTCAGATATAATTTTTTATTTTTCAACATAGTCTCCTTGTAACTCTACTCACTTCTCCCAGGAAATAACCTAACCTAACAAACAGAAAAGACCTTTTTTCAGATTTTATTTTTTATTTCTCAACATAGTCTTCTTTTAACTCTACACACTCCTCCTAGCGATGCTTCCACCTCAGTAACCCGTCCAAATAGTACTCGGCGTTTTTTTCTGCAAAATAATTGTTCACGAAGGTGATTGCCTCATCATTTAATGAAATTCTCTGTCCTCCGAGCGCAATTTTTAGATGAGGAAACAAGAAGAAGTCGCTTGGCGCTAGATCTGGTAAGTAAGGTGGATGGTCAAGCAGTTAAAATCGTAATTCGTGGATGTTCCGTGGTGGCCATGGCAACCGCTGAGATGTGAGACGGTGCGTTGTCTTGGTGAAACAGACCATTCTTGTTCTGCAAACGTGGCCGTTTTTCCGGAAGTTCTGCCTTTAGCTTGTCAAGTAATGATGCGTAGTATGCTCCTGTAATGGTTTCTCCTTTTTGGAGATAATCCACTAAAATAACTCCATGACTATCCCAAAAAAACAGTCGCCATCACTTTCCCAGCCGAAAAAACAGCTTTTGCCTGTTTTGGAGCCGGTTCCCGCTTTTGGTCTAACGTGAGCAAACGCGGCACCCAACGCGCGGACAGCTTTCTCATGTCTAAATGTTGATTTAATATGTGACAAACATGTTCTTTTGACATGTTCATAACCTCTGCTATCTCTCTCACGTTAATTCGGCGGTCGTCTAGCACCATTAGGTGAACTTTGGTTTAAATTCAGCTGCCCAAAATTTCACTGTGGTAAATGATGGCGCAGAGTCCCCATACACAGAGTCCAACTCATCTTTCATTTGCGTAGGCGTATTGCCTTTCAAAAACAAATATTTAATGACAGCTCGGTATTTGATTTTGTCCATTTTCATAAAAACACACATCAACTCACTCAAACGACTGTTACATAACAACTGCGCGTCCAAAATGGCTGAAAATTTGGCGAGTAACTGTCAACAGATGAATAACGATATTCACTAGCTTTTATGAACGAGTGCTGCCATCTTCGTGTCGAGGTCGGAAACTTTTCAGACCACCCTCGTAGTTTTATTTTAAAACCATCGATTTCATATAACTCTCGATGGACATGAACTTTATTCATAATAGATAAAGCTTTTATACCATATAAAACACATACATATAAAGATACACTCACAAATCCTTGAAGGAATAGGCAGAGATTGATTAAATACCAACGAAAAGGATATTTTTTTTGCAGATGGATTTGGGTTGGGGAGTGTATGGAAGTATGTGGGGATGTATTGGAAGAAAATAGCTCTAGATTATATAGTAAATTGGCAACAACCGGATTTTCATACAATGATAATAAATATACATTATTGTTCAAAGACCATTAAAGACAATAAGCAGCACAAAGAATTGTTTTAAATCGCAGTAAATGTTATTTTAACACAAACAAAAGAAATGACGTGAGGCACTCCTTATTACGTTTACTGTTCAACGCAGTGATTGATTAACTATAGTGCTAAAAAATAATAAACAAGTCTATTTGGCACAATATCAAGGAGCAATAATATGTGTTTATTTCCCGGTATAAAATTCCGTCCCTTGAGAATTATGTCCGAAGTCAATGTTGGCAATCCCCGGCCTTGGGGTAATTAACCTTATTTGCGATCTCGTCGACCTGCGTCGATGTGGCCACTTTGAACTTGTGCTACATTAACACAATACACAATTCTTTAAATAAACCTTTGAGCGATGCGTCTCAACTATGAATACTGGCCAACGGCTCAATCACGCATTCACGCCATCCACGTGGTCCTAATATGCGCCTTGAGCGTTTCACAATGTCTTAAACCATATAGAGATATTCATGCTATTTTATATAAGGAAAAAAATAAGTTTTTGCATGACTTCTGCAATCGCGGAAGACGTGGATCAACGTTTGGACCTTACGGTGATCTATTCCAACACAAAAATTTTAGATAAAGAAAAAAAAACATCTATAAAATTATCGTAATGCATATCAGGCAAAAGCATTAAATTTTGGTTTATAACTTAAATATATTCAACTACTGGAATCATTTTGATGTAAAACACCAGAGATGTGATTATACGTGGGGCCGCTTCCGGGGACAGCTGCGTGCGTCACCGGGCCTTGGACCTACCACCGCGTCTGACTTGCCAAGGTCCTCGAAACCTAGACTAGCTATTTAATTTCTGTTGATTCTAGCAAGCTATCGCCAAGTTAGTGTTGAATACTACTATGTACTATAAATATTCCTTATGAAATTTAAAAATGGCTTTGTTCTTACGAAATCGTAAAACATTGATTTCAAGAAAATAGACATAAATGTTTATGCAAGACCCATCAACAACAGGTATTATCTAGTAAGGTGAAAAGTGCATTAAATGTTTACATACCTGGTCCTGTACTTACCAGAAATAGGTATTATGACGCATTGGAATGCAGTCTGGTGCACAGTAGTTTGCGGTATAAAAAATAAAATCAAGGACTTTGAATAAATCACCGATTTGCTAAGGCCTGTGTTGTTATTCTCAAAGCGCAAAGACACGATAAGCTTTCCGCACTGTTAACTTATTCTTGACTTACACTAACCCATGTCAGGTCATGACCTTGACATGGTTTAGTGTAAGTTTATGGAATGCCACATTTGTAGACTTACCTCTGAATGTGTTGTAGATTTGGTAACTTTATTTTAGTGCTTTCCGATTAAGAGGTCAGAACACACGTTTTCTTTGTGAAGAAGCGCGCACTGAACCGGTGGCATATTTTTAGCCGAGGGCGACGCTCCTTGCCATAAGAGTAGTGCACGCAATTTTATGCTCTACCACCACGATTTCTTATAATTGTTTATAAGAAGTCGTGGTGAAGTGAGTCGTGGAACTTATTGCAATTTCCATCTTAAAAATATTTTTCAGAATTACAACCATCTCAGTTCATAGCATTTAAAGATAGAAATATATAAGTGATTTCATCGATATCTTTACTCTCTGTTTTACAATTCCGATTGGATATGACGCTTCTATTGTCATGAATTTTAAATCCAGAATATTCTAGAACATTTTGACTCGAAGACGCATATCAAAACACCATTCAAGGCAAGCAGAGGTACCGCTCAGCATACGTCAGAAAGGACCGTTAGAGCGAATCACTTTCACTGTGATATTGTACCGCGTTCTACGCTTACCAACAAACACATCTTTTATTTTTAAATATTATGATTTCAATAATTACAAACGAATACAGAGAGTCATTTTGTATTGTTTTCTTTAAATGACACACGATATATTATTATATACGTACACATGTTTACGTCACCATCCAAATAATATTCAGTATATTACCAACGGGTTTTTGTTTGACAAGAATGTTTAATTATTAATTAGTTAAAACTCTTTTTAGGTACACTTACACGGTTCGTGAACATTCATTAAAGTCTGAGTTCTATTTATTAGGCTCTGCCGTAGTGATAGAATGAACTGAAAAATATTTAGTTTCAGAGGATCTATATATTTTGCGATACTAGGTATATAGGTAATTTTTAAATTTATTAAAGTGCTTCACTGGAAAGCCAAACGATTCGCCATTTATTAGCTAAATTGTCAACCAAATCAACTTAACGGTATTCAAAAATGTTTAAAAGGAGTCTGACCGTGTCACCGCACGAATGGCGTGGTGGTTTGAGCGATCATCGAACCGATGTCTGTTACGCTGAGTGTTGTGGTTTCGATCACCACATGGGGCAAAACTCTGTGTGATCACAAATTGGTGTTCTGAGTCTGAATGTTCTTTGTGTGCGTTTGAATGAATGTTTGTAGAGCCCCCCGCGACACAGGATATTATATTCCTAGGTCAGAGTTGTCTTTAAAAAAACTATTTTTTTTTGTGAACTGATTGAAATGGAATAAGTAAACACTAAAAGTTACCTTTAGTTTGTTACTACAGAACTGTGAAAGCCACATACAGGTCATTTAAGCCCTGTCGCACAAAAATTAGCATTAAAATAATCGCTGCAATGCCTTGTGGTTGTTGTAGCTATTTGATTTTAATCTTTTTGTAAGCGTCTGCAATGTATGAGCATCATCTATACTAATATTATAAAGCTGAAGAGTTTGTTTGTTTGTTTAAACGCGCTAATCTCAGTAACTACTGGTCCGATTTGAAAAATTCTTTCAGTGTTAGATAGCCCATTTATCGAGGAAGGCTATAGGCTATATATCATCACGCTAAGACCAATAGGAGCGGAGCACCAATGAAGAATGTTTCAAAAACGAAGAAAAATTATTACTATTGAGACACGCAGACGTAGTTGCGCGGATCAGCTAGTGCAATAATATTTGCATGATGCTCATACGAACATACAGAAAGGCGGAAAAACATTGAACAATTGTTATTTTTCATTGTATTATTATGTAGCCGTTTCCTACTGTTTCACCTTAGCTTACGGTTACTGCACCGTTTTCATGCTCTGTCCTAACCAAAATAAATCGGACAGAGTTCCAGCGATTAGCTTTAAACAAACAGACCAAAAAATTATTCGACCTTATTTACATTAAAACAGATTAGTTAATTAACTAAATTCAGTTAGGTAAGTGGGTATTTTAAATATGTAACTATTAGGTAATATGTAAACATATTAGTTATAAAAAAATTGCTTTAACTTTTCAACAACAATTTAAACTTACAATTTTTACTTCTTCCTTAGTTAAACCAACTAGGTATAGAATAAAGAACAGAAGTTGACTCGTCACCAAATAAACAAACAAAATGAAATTGAAAAACAAAGGGTTGGGTTTAGTTGCGTTGCCGTCACCACCGTAGAAATAATGAGGCTAGTAGAAGAAGCGAGATAGGTATATGATATGATACGAAAACTACGTACGTATCATTTAAAAATATTTTAAAAACAAATTATAAGCTACCAAACCAACCAGTCATAGTATTCTCATTATAAATAATACGACTTATCGCTATAGTACATTAAATCTAGGTCATTCGTATATTGGAGTAGGCCACTGGTTTGAATTGAGCCGTTCGATACACCACTAAATGTATTGTCTGTCCTTATGATTTCGTTATGGATCTGATTTATATTCAGTATCATAAAAGTCTATTCTAAAAAAAAAACAATAATACAACCTTCAACGAATCGTGTGTTTGGAGTTTTAGTATCGAGAACGCCAGGGGCAAATTGCGGAAGTAAGATTCTGGTCTCTTCCGTATCACTTGCCTTCTTCCGCTATCTCCTAAGAAAGACATGGCTGTAAGGTGTAATATGTACCTACTTTATACGGCATACACTCGGCCTTGTCGACATTGAACTTTATGAGTACAAAAATTTAATCTTCTACCGGTAACCTCACTTATATTATGGGTAAAATTATATAGAAGTCGTATATTTATAGATATACCTACTTGTCTAGATTATCGAAAAGGAATTTTTAGACGTAAGTTTAAAGATTGCAATCCTTACCCGTTTAACTTCTTCCTTAGTTAAGTTTTTTCTTTTAAAGCCCGTTGAAAATTAATACCAAATCTAAGTTAGGGTGAGTGTTTTTAACGGTTTTCTAATTGTAGTTTAATTAGAAAATTGTTACGACTGTTTATATCGAAACAGTATTATGCCCCATATCCTAGGTTCCTCAACTGCGTTATGATTACGTAACTTTTGTTATGAAGGTTGGTAAAATACTAGTCGGGGAAGGCAAGGCAACAATGGATTTTATATAACTCTTATATTACGCGCATAGTAACGCAACTACATTGAAATCTGTCTTCCTAATTGCGAAGCATTAAATTGTTTCAAGATTTAATAATTCTGGCCTTGGCAACTCATTGCAAACTTCGATCAGGAGATCTGCATTGAATATCATAACCTTTATAATTAGTATAGGGGCATAGATGTTTGTTATTTGTAATGGCTAAAATCACGACGCGGAATCTTTAGGAGCATTCAAGGTGCCTTTAAATGTTTCTTCAATTATACTCAAGCAGAAGTGCTATGAAAACTACTGTAGCTAAACGTATTTAACTCAAATTTGGCAAATATAACATCAATAATAAATAATAAATTCAAAAAATAACTTGGTTGTTAATAATAAAAAAGAGTAGATTATTTTTGTAATTTTATCCACTGACCAACTTTTAGTGTGCCACTTTTATTCTTATTGTATTAAGGTCCATTATGAAAGAATCACCTATCGACTATGTTAAATATTCATGACGACTTGATCTAGATATACATTTTAACGATGCAGTGGAACTAATTCTATATTTACACTATACTAATCATGTATTGTGTTGTGCCGTGTTATTACAAAATGATCCAACCAATTGCTCACGATAGTTGAAATCATACTTGCCAAATATTTGAACTTGTTTCGAATTACTGTCAAAAATGATTCTATAACTCGAGAATGAAACGCTTTAACCATTGAAATGTAAAGTAGTTGCAATCGAGGGTACAGCTAATGCTTAATATATTTAAGGATCTATCTTAATCATAGTCATCCGATAGAACATAGACCTCTACATGACAACAAAGAACATAGATCCAATTTTCAAAATGAGTGATCCTCCAACATCCATTGGCGTTCGTCAGTTTGAACAGGTAGTCGATCTTTTAACAAATAATACGTAAAAAAATACAGAGCAACAAGAAGCATGTAAAATATTATAACAACCCCGGCCTGTTCGTATTGGTATCCTTTGTACTAGCTTCCTCGCCACATCCCTACATACACCTTTTCCTTTGTTCCGTCTTGAAACGACTGCATTCTCAAGAACAGATGACGTCAGCCAGGCGGCCAACCATAAAAGTAACCAATCAAAACGCTTTTCAATGCAACATTGCGCCTACTCCAAACAAAATTGGAAGAGGTGTAAGAAGATCTCTAACGAAATACATGCACACTTAAAAACCATAATTGACTAAAGAGGTGTACTCCTTCACTTACCGGAGACCACAGTAAGCTCAATAAAAAAAAAAGACATCAACTAAGCGAAAAAAGTTACGAGTAATAAAGATTATAAAATAATGTATTAAAAAATGTTAGTGTCACGTTTTCTACTTGTATTAATACTATATATAATTGAGAACTGGCGACATCAAATATTTTACAAATCGATCTAACGAAACCGTGTTTCTCTATTTCAGAATGGTGACCTATGCATATCGATTCTTCATCCGCCTGTAGATGATCCTCAGTCTGGTGAACTGCCATGCGAACGTTGGAACCCCACACAATCTGTTCGTACAGTGCTCTTATCAGTCATATCGCTACTCAACGAACCCAACACGTTTAGTCCTGCAAATGTTGACGCAAGCGTCATGTACCGCCGCTGGCGTGATTCCAAAGGGAAAGATAAAGAATACGAGAATATTATCAGGTGAGAGTTAAACTAAAGAACCATTGATTTTTTATCATTACTTCTCCTGACGAATGAGATCAATAAGCCACTAGGAGCTTGTCGTATTTTGTATTCACAGAGATCCATAGGTTCTCAAGAAATATTGAACTATTGTAAGTAATGTTAAATCTTAACGTTAGAATGTACATTCTCTCTAAAATAACCTCGCCATCTCTATATTAATCCGTGATTAAATATAACTAAATATTACCGATTCTCACCAGGTTTGTTTCTAACAAGTTTACGTAACAGTAATCGCTTAAGATTTCCTAGAGGTCACAAAATATCGATATTTTTGCTGATATCCTTGCATCCCTACTAGGGGGACTTTACATACCAACCTTAAAGTCCCTTCATTGCTCCACGGTAATGGCATTTGTAGAGATCAAACATTTAAGTATTCGCACCCAACAAAAAAGTGCGCTATTATGTCATGGGTCGGTGAAAAACTAAACTGTACACAATGGTGATGTGCCGAAAGTCCGCATGTGGCATTGTGTACTTTGGCTTTAATGATTTTTAAGCAATGCATGTAGGTGAAGGGACTGAATTGAATTCAGTAGTACATATTTACATATATACTATTGAATTCAATTCTCATACTCGTACATGTACATAAGACTATAATAGAACATGACCGTTCGCAAAAAAAAAATTCATTGCAATCTTAACAATATGGACGCGACGGTATTCTTAAAAGGTTATAGGTGCAAATAACTATAAGATTACTTGGTTTTGTCCTAGATACGTTTAACAAAATCGGTAGTGATAGTTTTTTGTTATTTTCAACTTTTAAATGCTGTTATTTATTTATTTTTCTAGATAAATTATCAATAATTAATTACAATATTATGTAATTTTTAAGTGAGGGAAAATTCTTATAAGGATAGTTAATATTTCACAGTACCTACGAAAAGCATTTGAATAATTAATAACTTGCAAAACCATGTGAAATAGTGCAATGATTTCATTGCCATATTTCTGAAAAACTGCAATAGACCATTTTTAGAGTATTACAGTTTTTCCTTGCCTCCTTCCCTTAACCTTAATATGACCTGAAGTAATCTTCTAAGAGAATTCTTTTACGCATAAAAAAAATTGCGAAAGCAAGAACGTGAAATTTAACATAATAGTACTATCCCTTGCTGACACTTGTATGATTGAATGATTACTTAAAAGAAATTTAACTTTTGTCTTCTTAATATAAATTTACATTTAGGATTTTTAATTTTTATATATGTCACGGATCTTGAACATAACGAATAAGCGCTCTGTGTAAAACAGAAAGTATTCATTATATATATTACATACTACAAGCTCTGCTTAGTTTGGCACTAGATAGCGTTGTGTGAATGTGATAGAATACCATTATTATTAAAGAGGTTTGTAGCTTTTTTTTCGCGGAAATGCACATATTATATCACAATATTATATCCTGAGTCAATCTTGTATTATTTTATTGATCAAATAATTTGAGAACATGCACTTACAATTAAGTAGATTGAATGGTCAACATAAGTTAGGCTATATTATATTTGAAAACGCTGCAAATAATGTAGTATTCTGTATTTGAATATTTTTAATTTAGTGTATATTGTTCAATGTGTAAAAAAATTAACAACAACTAGGTTGACCGCATACTTCGCTATTTCATATAAAATTAAACAGAACTTGTCTTGACTGACATATATTTTTATTCGTTTACAGAAAGCAAGCGCAGGTGGCGCGTATGGATGCAGAGAAAGAAGGCATTGTAGTACCCCTTACATTAGAAGATTATTGCATCAAGACACAAGTCAAGTCGACGACGCAAGAGCCTCAGGTTGGTAAAATAAAGCAACGCTTAGATCACCGTAATAAATCTTAAAGGCAGGCTTAACTACAAAAGATTTTTTGGTTTTAGTAGAAAGTTTACCTAATATTCATATTTTAAGAATGATGATAGAACTAGAATGCAGGCGACATTCTAAAGTTCTATCATCATTGATCTAATATACATTGGTTTACAAACATAGTTTTGCAACTCAGTCAATTCGTCTGACCTTGATAAATCAACGATGACTATTACATTTTAAATAATTCTTTCAGAAGTTTCGTTTCGATAAGCACACAGAAAATTGCCATTACTTAAGTACCTACTATAAATCTGTTATGCTCTTGAATCAAGTTCTCATGTTTTTATGACTACCTAACGTCACACTAAAAAGTTTTACCTCATGTTAAACAAGTAAACAGTAAAACTATTGAAATCTGGTCGCTACCAAGCTATGATAATAATTTTAGCATTTCCTAGCTGAAGCTGATGTTATTGTTGGTGTACGTATCAGACAATACCCAACAGTTTTGCTGCCAGTGGAAGTACGAAGAACTACTACACTTACTTGATTTCGCCACCGATATCTTTCATATTGCATTTTGTACCATGATAGAATGTAAGGTACCAAACGAGAGCCGGTTGATCAAATAATACTGACATCTATAATAAGTAAAGAAAAATATCAGTAATGGAACTGTACTGTGTTACATGTAACTTCTTTTTCTGCAGTTGGATATGACAGATTTTTACGACGACGACTACGATGACCTCGACACAGACTCAGATGAGGAAGTAGACGGGGGTGACGGCGACGGCGACGACAGCGGTAACGGCGAGTCGTGAGATTGAGCCCAATCGCGCCCGCTACTCCGCTCACCACCCGCGATCTCCCGCAGCGTACGGACCACTTCACCACACGCGACCGCGTAGTACCGGTAATGTCCATAATGGCGTGACTACGAAGGGGTTCCTAGGGCTCCACGGTTATACCCAAAACCTATCATCTAATTATAACTCTAGGGTAGATTTGCGGGGTCAATTTGAGCCAAGTTACGTCAATTTTGATTACAAGGGCACGCGGAAGAGGACTAATAGAAACTGTTATGAGTCCCGATAAATAGAAAACGAAAATCATATAAAGCTTCATGTAGAGCCGCGTATATGTCTATTAACTTTGTACAATTTCCGTATAATTTTCTCCCCTTAAATGTTGCCACTGTGTTATATGATAACTTAGTTCATTTTTATTGTATTGTTAGTAGTTGTATGTTTACTTCTCTATGCAATCAATTGAAATAGTTACGTATTACATCCAGAGTTATACTGCAAAGTCATGAGTTGTGACGACTGGCTGCCCATGCGTGCTACTGCCTACTTCCGCAGTTATACAGTTTATATTACTCAACCTGTATTACATTATAGCTCGCATTTTTTAAATTCTAAGTAATATCTAGCAATCTATTAGGTTTCAATTTTCTAAGTTGTTTATAGCTCTCTCACATCTATATATTTATAGATATTTAGTAACTTTTTGAAATAAACTTTTAATCCGAATATATAAATGTACAATACTTTTACTAAATCGAATATTAACACATTTTGGGCGTATGGCAACAACAATTCTACACTACAGCCAAGACCTGTTATTGATTTTTTATGGTTGTCTAATAGTAAATATTAAAACACAAATACTAATTATTAAACGATATGAGATTGTGTTTTTTTATTTTTGACTATGCTCGCCAATTACAAAATATATAACATAAATACATACAAATAGTGTGCTTGTATATTTTGAAAATGATTGTAATAATTAAATGGTATATTGAATGTAAAAACAGTAGAATATTAATGAACTATTTTTATTCAACTATAGACATATAATCATTTCAAACTGTATTAATTGCATTTGATTTGTTAATGATGTTTATTATTTTCAGTTGTCCGTACTGCTTGCCTGAACTGGATAGTTAATATTAATTTTATTAAATATTAGTATATGAGTCATTCTTGTTTTATTATAATGTCCATGGCGAATGTGGCCATGATGTAAATGTTAGAATCTTTCTGAAATAGACAATGTATAATTAGTTTTGTTTATTTTAATGTGTAATAATAATTCTGTGATTGTAAAAGATTATTGCCTGATTTTTTTGTTTGTTTTATTTAATTTTTTCCTGTTTATGAGAATGATTTTATTGCAGAACCTCAATATTTTAGAATATTTTAATTTCTAAAAGAAACTCAATTTACCTGACATTTTTAAAGATCTTAATTTTTCTGAAGAAAATGTCGATGTCCGTATATTCCTTGTGTATTCTATAAATACTGCTTCTATATAACTAACTGATAAATTAAATGTACAGAGATTCTATATAAAGTATCAGTTTAAAGGGTATGCTCAAATCATATTATGATAATACTAAAGAATGATACAGTACATTAATAAAACATTTAGTGATTCATGAACGAAATCATTTGTAATGTATATTAAGTAAAAATGAATTTTAATGGTTAGTGTGCACTAAGTTAAATTTATATAGATTTGTAATGTAATACTTGTATGATTTGTATTTTTAAGAGTTAGACTACCTGTAACTTTGGCTTCTAAATTCCTACTAAGCTGAATGTAATTCGTCATCGATTGCAATGCTATCTCATAACGTCTAACGCGTCGATAGACAACCTAATCTTTTTCTTTTGGTCAGAACTCTATAGTTTCGAAGATCCTGCTAAAATCGTCCAAAAGTTAAGTTAGATTTAAGTTAGAGTAAGTGGTTTGGAAAATTATCGTAGGACAAATTCACGACGACGAGAATGTTAATTACGTATTAAATAATAAACAATGTGTTTGGAAGAGATATTGTTGATATTGTTTTTTTTTTTGCTCCCATACATTAAGTTCTCTGTTATCTAATGCTTAACGAAAGAAAGAAAGAGAGTGCCCCGAAGAAATGTTCGGACTAATACCAGCCGCAAATTTCCGCCATCGTTCCACACGGCAAAATTTTCATCCTCATTACCTTGATAGTTGGCGCTCCACTATTATGCGCTTTTCAAGGCACTTTGCCCCGCCCAACCACTCCTTCCTAAAAGGCCGGCAACGCGTTTGTGACTCCTGAGTTGCAGGCGTTCATGGGCGGCGATGGTCACTTCCATCAGGTGACCCGTCTGCTCGTCTGCCCCCTATGACATAAAAAAAAGCAATAAAGGAGCCAAACAAGTCGAAGACTACCGTAAGAACAGCGATGGTTTGGGCTAGCTTGGGATCACTTTTTATTCTTGGAACTGGTGTTCTGTGAGGTCATAGTATCGCTCCGTCGAACCGGCCTGTATGTGCCGAAGGTAATAAGTCATGGGACAGCCAGTCCCATGGTTTATTAGTAGTAGTGTAATATGAAATTCGTCATAAACGAAAGTCATCCTACTCAACTTGTAGCTTCAATTGTAATTGTAAATGTAATTCTTTTAGCTTCAATTTGAGTAAGATGAAATCAAATATCGTTCTGAATTAACATTTAAGTCTATTTAAGGAAAAAAAACCGTTGCTATATTGATGTTGAACATGAATGCTAGACTGTACATAACACGCATCAATTCCACATACTTAGCAGGCACTCTTTCTTCTTGCTAAGCCCACTACAGATTGCTCGCTCGGAGTACCCTATCTTACGCCATTTGTGCGCACGTCTGTATTTCTCTCATAGCATATTGCGAATGAGGCAAATGTATTACAAAAAAATTAAGACACACTGAGCACAAATATATAAAGATTCTTGCTTATATGACCTATTAGTACCGCCTCATACCCTGCTAATCTATGACGTCCAGAGGCACTGCAAACTTTTACAACTTTTTGAATCCATTTATTATATTGGACACGCAGAGCATTAAATGAACTCTGTGCTTATTATAACTGAACCCAGTGGCGAATTATCCCTAAGGCAAAGTAGGCGCGAGGTTGCAAAGGGGCGTTATTGCCACTACTTTTTACACGCTTTATATTAGCTTCACTTGTATGTTTGTCCGACTCCTTTGGGTGTGATTTTGACTGACTTTAAACGGTCAGAATTCGTTCAAACTTTGTAGATATATCGAGGACCGGTGACAATTCACTAATTAAAAAATATATATATATATATAGTTTTAAAAAACTAAAAGACACGATTTCTATAGAAAACCAAACTAAAAAAAAGAAAATAAATTTGAAAAAAAAGCGTGGGGTGCTTTTGGAAAGCGTGTTTTTTAGTTTTTTAAAACTACAATTTTTTTGCTTTACTATTCTGATACGCTCGAAGACTGTGCGTTCGTACGTACGTATAGCATTAGCGCCGATCTTTAGAACTCAATCAACGATGTGACCGCTCCGCGTAAAATGACGCATGCTTAAAGGTGACCTCTGAATTGCTTGGATTAGCGTCGCAGATCGCAATATAGGAATTCAGTCAGTCAGTTAGCCTTCCAAATCCGTAATCACGGATCAGAAATCGGAAGTAGTGCGGAAAGCAATATCCAAATTCAGCTCCTGATTTCTAGATCCGTATTTTCACAGGCTCAGATCGGACGTAGTGCGAAACCGCTCTAAGACACTTCCATTCCGATAGACCGCCCCACCGAAAACTCCACGGTCCCAGGGGGTTTTCACACGTAAAAAAGAGGTTGTAAAGAAACGCCAACTAAAATTTGGTGTAATTACTACCACACATTTACACTTAGTAACATCAACTATAAAACAGTAAATATTTTGGAGGTTAAAAAGCTTGGGAGAACTTAACTCCCATTGTCTCACACTGCATTCCAGCCTGTGTCTGAGAAGCTGTTAGCCTACCTGACCCATGCAATCGACGCATCTTTGCCAACGCATTGGCAGTTTATTGATGGGCATCAATAAACAATAATCTTGTAAAAATCAGCTGGACGGGAGGCAACAAACTCTTCAAAGGCATTTTGTACTGCCTCTCGGGAATTGAATTTTTTACCCACTAAAAAGTTGTTTAAATTTTGGAAAAAGTAATAGTCGGTAGGTGCAAGGTCTTCAATAAACTGCCAATGCGTTGGCAAAGATGCGTCGATTGCATGGGTGATTACTTCGAATAACAGAAATAAAAAACTTTGAAAAAATAAGTACTTTTACTTATTGCATACAAAACGGCAATTTCATAGGTAAAGACCTAATAGATTTACTAGTAAAACACAAGATATAATAACATACGGGCTTTTTCAGTAACATATATATATAAATCTGTAATCAATTTGTAAATACAAAAAATGATGTCAATATCTCTTAAGAATCGAATATTGTAGGAATTGATTTCTTTTACCCAGGTCCCATTATTCAACCTGTCAGAACTGTCAAACGATACCTTTTGTTTTAGATGGATTGGACCTGAGGATTATACTATCTGTCATTGTTATATGAGCATAGAGTTAATACGGTGTACTACGGTTGCCTGTGAGTGAAAGCGATAAAGGCAACGAGAGAGATGGATGCCCGATAGTTCCCTCTGTCTCTGTGCTAAACTGAGATTGGCTATCGTAAAGTTAGCACGGTCTTGATCGTAGAACTCCTGTTGTATGTATGTCATGTATATTTTAGTTGATTAGTAAATGTAACCTATGTGGCCTACCACTCACGATTTCTACACCAACTAAAGGTTGACTGGAAGAGAACGCCCTGGGCATTCATCAATCATCATCAACAGCCTATACTAGTCCACTGCTGGACATAGGCCTCTCCTTAGAAAGGAGGTTTTGGCCTACTATACCACGCTGGCCAGACGGGTTGGTATAGGGTTTGTTTCAAGTTTTCCTTCTCTTTGCAGTGCTGTTGTCCTGCTTAGTTTGCTCCCCTCCCTTGCAAACTAAATTTTTATTTACGTAACAGCAATATTATCTGAAAATTCAGCATCGCATTTTAGGTGTGGAGGATCGGTTGTCATGTCCCTCCAACACAAAGGGAGGATCCGGACCAGGCGAGGTGATCACGCCTGGCCTGGGCATTAATAAGTATTAAAGTTAGAAATTTCGCGAACAAATTGGATGTAAATAATTCAAACATAAGGTATGCAAAACATATAGGTCAAAAACTTGAGGTAAACATTTAAAAGCCGTGTAAATGTTTTAGACATTTACACGGCTTTTAAATGTTTGCACAAATAGCAAAGTAATTATTAGCAGGAATTCTGAACGACAGTAGTATTTGTTCAGAGGAGAGTAAACCTCTTCACATGGAAAACAATGCTTCATTTTCCGTTTTGAATTTACTTCTTTTCATTAACAATAGTTTACAGTGTGGCAAAAAAAAACAATTCAGTATATAGTTATTAACCCCCCATTTTCCCCAGCCAACCATGAAGCTCGACTAGAAAAAGATAAAGGGAACTATCTAGCATTCATCTCTCTCGTTGCCTTTATTGCAAGAATGGGGCTCTTTTTCATTCTATGCTTGGATCTGTACGCTGTCTATGAACATAATTTTTTGACGTTTACAAGAAACGTCATCAATTCATTCATTTTGAAGTTTCAACTTAACATCATGAAATAATATTTCGTATTCGTGATTAGAGATGGGCGTTTTCGTTAAATTTTGTCATCGATGCGCATCGTTAATTGGTGAACCGCATCCGATGCCGGCATCGTTTTTTCTGGCATCGATTTCCGGCTAAAGTGTCTGCGTATAAATATCACATAGGTACTCGGTAACGGTGCCTTATTGAAATCATTATTCATCTATTTTATAACTTTGTAAATTATTTAGATACGAAATTCAACATTACGACTTCTACGGGTAATAAGTATGGAGGTTATAGAATAAACATAAGGTAATTAATATTAGTCTTTACTTTTAAGAAAATTAGAGTTCACATTAAGAAAAACCAATTTCTCTAATTTGGAACTTGAAAGACGAGTTCTTCGTTCATTCAAAATATACCCGGCTTTGGAGAATATCCGTTCGCATGGCACAGAAGTTATCACAATATTACACCTCGAACGGTATATTTCTGCCAACGTCGGGTATATTTTGGAATGACGGAGCCACCATTCAGTGGGATCGTTCCACTCCCCGTTAACGTTTTGCCGGGGCAAAATTTCGTCTTCCAAGTACAACCGCATCTCCCTGATTGCTTTGGATAAAGGCGTCCCTGACCCTCTAGTCTTGCTTAACTGACTGTCTACTTTATTCCATACGCTTGATCCAGAAACAGTTGCAGTAGGAGCTACTTGTATTGTAGTTGGGACCTGTCTTGACAAAATGTCTGCCATTTTCTCGTGGCAATATTCTTTTATAGAATTTTTGTTGGTATCTGATTTAAACATCTCCAACTTAAAGCGAGGGTCCAACAACGTGCACAAAGCCAGAGTCTTGCTTTGTTCAATATTCTGGAACCGTGAGTCAAGACCACTTTTCAATTTTATTAATACATTTTGTACTATTTCAGCGTCTATGTAGTGTCTGTTTTGTAGCATCTCTTGGCAAATATCGCGAAGGCTATTACATAAAACTATTGCTAACCCCCCAGTCACATAGTTCTGACCACTCAAACTAGAAGTGATTTCTTCAAATGGTGCCAAAACACTTACCAACAACTCAAGGTTTGTCCACTCTTCTTGCGACATGATTGGCCACTCTTTATTTATCACTGCTGTAGTAGCTTTGACGGCCTCTCTGAGCTCGATAAATCTTTTAATCATGAGGTATGTCGAGTTCCACCTTGTGACTACTTCCATGACCAATTTTTTTGGCTGTTCAATTCCCAAATGGTTGCTTTGGTACTTCATTAATTTTTCGTTGGCTTGGGTGCTACGCTTAAAATGTGCGACAATTTTTTTGACTTTTTCGATCGTGACCTGTATTGGTATGAGGGCTTCTTTTACGATTAAATTAAGGGAGTGTGCAAAACAGCCATAATGCTTCCATCTTAATTTGTTTGTAATTGCATTACAAATATTGTGTGCATTATCAGACACTGCGAAGTTTACTTTGTCTAATAGGTTCCATTTCAGTACAATACCTTTAATTTGCTGTGCAAGGAGTTCACTTGTGTGACTTCCGGGACATCCCTTACAATCTAATAAGATGGACTTAAATTTAAACTTGGGCGAAATGTAGTGGGCAGTGACTGCAACAAAACTGTCATTATTATTAGAGGTCCAACAGTCAGTTGTAATGCATGCAGTTACCGTTTCAGTGTCTAATATTTCTCGACATTCATTCCAAGTTTTTTCAAATAATGCCGGTATTAAAGAGTTTGATATCGTCTTTCTGGATGGCGGTGTGTACCCTGGAATCCATGATAATAACTTTTGAAAGCCTTTATCATTCACCATACTAAACGGCTGCATGTCGTCAATAAATAGATCGAGTAAATCTCTATCAATTTTTTTTTTCATCTCTTGTGTTATGGGTTTAGGTATATAAGAATTTATTGTCCTTTGTCGGCGTCGTCTCGCAGGAACATTGCATGTACCGGAAGTTGAAGCAGTAATGGAAGAGTGAAAAGATGATGGCAGCTCTGCGGTCGCAGTCGTTGAGCTCGTAGTAGTGAATTGCACAATTGCTTCTGTTGTTTCTATTTCCTGTGGAGGTTGAGGTAGCATTTGCTGTGAAGGCGGTACCGGTGGCGTTATGATAATATCATTTGCCAAAATATATGGGTGCTTTTTTTTTAAATGAGACCTTAAGTTACCCGTAGTAGATTTATAGCTAATACACTGACTACAATATTTACAAATACCCATAGTCTCGTCTTTTTTATCGAAATGGTCCCAATAAGGGTTTGCTTCCCGTCGTGGCATGATTACAAACGAAACACAAAATGACACAATAAATTGCGAATGTACTCTTAGGTGTAATACGTAGGCACTTTTATTACTGTTTGTCGCTCTCTTCTAAACCTTGTGCATAATGGACTAATGACAAAATCAAAACTTAATACATAAACAAACTTAACCTTGAACAAGTGGCGGGATTTCAATACCATAGATATCGCTTTCACAATAAGAGACTTGTGAAATATCGATGCGTGATTGTACTTTAAAAAATTAGTAGGTACATTTTTTAATTATATTACAATTTTAACAAATAATAATTATTAACTTGAGGATATAAAAGGAAAAACATGTAACACATATCCCATCGATTATGCATGTGAGATAACTATATAAAATTAAATAAATATGTTACAGAATAACTTGAAAATAGCAGACAGCTGACGGAAAAATATTTAGCTTAAGATATCTCTATATTGAAACAACTTTTTATAGCACGCTTTCCGGTAAATTATTCATCACGCAAGTGATTCCAGATAACAATCAATAAAAGGTTTGTCCCGATTTCCATATTTTATTAAAAAAAATTAAAATTATCAGAACTTTAATTTTTATTTAAAAATTTTTTTGAAAATCGGGGCAAATGTTTTATTGAATATCATCTGGAATTACTTGCATGATGAACAATTTCCAGTAAAGCGTGCTATATTTATTTTTTTAAATAGAGATATCTTAAGCTAAATATTTTTCCGTCAGCTGTCTGCTATTTTCAGGGCCATGTTACAGAACATAATTAAATACGAGTAGCTATTTTACTAGGCACTTAGATATACACATTACACAATGAAAAATAGTCAACATACACATGTTTAGTGGTCAAAATTAAATTTAAATGCTATTGTAGTTAGGTACTATATTCACCTCAAATTTAAAACGCTTCTAGTATTGTAATGCTAATGACTCAAACACGCGTTGCGTATAATTGTATTTCGTTGATTGTTTGCCTCGCACAACCGCCAATCGTAGCAAGAGTGAGCGAGCGAGCGATACATCGATGCTTCGACTTGTCATCGCCGCGTTTTCCGTTTCGTGGTCATCTGGTGCCTCTCGCTTGCTCGCATTCGGTGAAGTTCGCATCAGATGTTGCGGGCATCCGTTTTTCAATATATCGGCATCGGATGCCGGCATCGTGTACTGGCATCGATGCTTAAAAACGTTTTTACGAAAACGACCATCTCTATATATAAGAATTTATTGTCCTTTGTCGGCGTCGTCTCGCAGGAACATTGCATGTACCGGAAGTTGAAGCAGTAATGGAAGAGTGAAAAGATGATGGCAGCTCTGCGGTCGCAGTCGTTGAGCTCGTAGTAGTGAATTGCACAATTGCTTCTGTTGTTTCTATTTCCTGTGGAGGTTGAGGTAGCATTTGCTGTGAAGGCGGTACCGGTGGCGTTATGATAATATCATTTGCCAAAATATATGGGTGCTTTTTTTTTAAATGAGACCTTAAGTTACCCGTAGTAGATTTATAGCTAATACACTGACTACAATATTTACAAATACCCATAGTCTCGTCTTTTTTATCGAAATGGTCCCAATAAGGGTTTGCTTCCCGTCGTGGCATGATTACAAACGAAACACAAAATGACACAATAAATTGCGAATGTACTCTTAGGTGTAATACGTAGGCACTTTTATTACTGTTTGTCGCTCTCTTCTAAACCTTGTGCATAATGGACTAATGACAAAATCAAAACTTAATACATAAACAAACTTAACCTTGAACAAGTGGCGGGATTTCAATACCATAGATATCGCTTTCACAATAAGAGACTTGTGAAATATCGATGCGTGATTGTACTTTAAAAAATTAGTAGGTACATTTTTTAATTATATTACAATTTTAACAAATAATAATTATTAACTTGAGGATATAAAAGGAAAAACATGTAACACATATCCCATCGATTATGCATGTGAGATAACTATATAAAATTAAATAAATATGTTACAGAATAACTTGAAAATAGCAGACAGTTGACGGAAAAATATTTAGCTTAAGATATCTCTATATTGAAACAACTTTTTATAGCACGCTTTCCGGTAAATTATTCATCACGCAAGTGATTCCAGATAACAATCAATAAAAGGTTTGTCCCGATTTCCATATTTTATTAAAAAAAATTAAAATTATCAGAACTTTAATTTTTATTTAAAAATTTTTTTGAAAATCGGGGCAAATGTTTTATTGAATATCATCTGGAATTACTTGCATGATGAACAATTTCCAGTAAAGCGTGCTATATTTATTTTTTTAAATAGAGATATCTTAAGCTAAATATTTTTTCCGTCAGCTGTCTGCTATTTTCAGGGCCATGTTACAGAACATAATTAAATACGAGTAGCTATTTTACTAGGCACTTAGATATACACATTACACAATGAAAAATAGTCAACATACACATGTTTAGTGGTCAAAATTAAATTTAAATGCTATTGTAGTTAGGTACTATATTCACCTCAAATTTAAAACGCTTCTAGTATTGTAATGCTAATGACTCAAACACGCGTTGCGTATAATTGTATTTCGTTGATTGTTTGCCTCGCACAACCGCCAATCGTAGCAAGAGTGAGCGAGCGAGCGATACATCGATGCTTCGACTTGTCATCGCCGCGTTTTCCGTTTCGTGGTCATCTGGTGCCTCTCGCTTGCTCGCATTCGGTGAAGTTCGCATCAGATGTTGCGGGCATCCGTTTTTCAATATATCGGCATCGGATGCCGGCATCGTGTACTGGCATCGATGCTTAAAAACGTTTTTACGAAAACGACCATCTCTATTCGTGATGTGACACTGACAATTGTGAGATACAATAATAGTGTTTTGAATAAATTCGAAAAGAATTATCAATATAAAATTTTATTCCTCATAATAATTAAAAATGAGCTGTGTAAGTGAGCTGTCCCAATCTAATGAATATCTTAGTTTTAGAAGCAGCATTCCTCTAAGAAAAATAGTTGTCGACTCGGACGGGTCCAAGGTAAACAAACTTTATCGGATTTCACTTATCGAATTATTGACTTGTAAAAGGAAAGAGAATTATTAAAAAATTTGCAAGTAGGTCATTGTTTAAGCTGGCCGAGCTACTTTACTAATACTTTTAATTTTAGGCTTGGCGAATTTTCGATAGTGGTCCTAAATCAGTGAATTGTCCGTTGATATGTTTACCACCAGTATCAGGAACTGCAGATATATTTTTCAAGCAAGTGATGGGCCTTGCCTCAAGAGGGGTCCGAGTAATAGCAGCAGAACCTCCTCCATATTGGAATATGAAAGAATGGTGTGATGGTTTTAAGAGACTAATTGATTATCTTGAACTAGACAAAGTTCATATTTTTGGTGCCTCATTAGGTAAGCTAACAATCAAATAGTTATCAGTAAGCTTTCAACAGTCTAATAATTATTTCATTTTTATGAACATAAAGTGGTCTAACTAGGACACAGTCCATGCACTTCTAATGGTACCTTGTAACTATTACAATATTGCCTAGATCCTTTGTATCTTTAGAAATGTGCTGTGAAGAGCTCTGCTCTCAGTTACATCCTAAGCCAGTTTTTTGGCCATTTCCTCGTGGCCGAAGTAGGATGCCAACCCAGTTATGCTATAAGAAAACTTAAACCCTCGTAATCAAACTTTATATCTTAGATATAATTTCGTTTAATTATCATTGCAGTAGCTATAATTTTTACATTAACTAAGGGCTATGAGAATATGACGAATTGAATTACCCCTCATGGGTTTTAATGTGGGTATTTACCACCAAAAAAATTACTATACAGTATGATATTATTTTGTAGTTGTGCTACTATGTAATTCCTTAACTTAATTCCTAATTAAGTTTCCTTGTGGGCCTAACTGGTTTGGCAACCTAGTTTTGGACAAAGAGTCAATGGCCAGTCTTTTATTTATTTATTTGGAAACTTAACAGCTATGTTACATATATCATTGGTGAAGTTAAACATTTATTTAGAATCTTAGCCACTTATAAAGTTTTACGACAAACATAGGCAATGGTACGTATTATATACTGTCTCTAATTTAGTTATATTAGGTATATTGTGCAGAGTGAGAAGTATTCCAAAAGAATACAACTTACAAAAAAAATCTTAATTTGGATTCATAAGTATGATTGCAACTTTTTAGTTATTTGTCTTTTAAAGGCACTTTTTGAGAGGTGGAAGATGTCAATCTTGTCAAAATTAATATTGTAACAGCTAGGCAAACAAGTGAGAACAGAAGTCTTTTTGATATAAAAGTCAGATTACTACAGTCAGTACAGATATTATTTCAAAACACAATGTGAGTCTAAATATAACATATGATTTTTTATTTCTAGGTGGATTTATAGCGCAAAAGTTTACAGAACTAACCAGTAACTGTCCACGTGTTGCTTCTCTAATACTTTGTAATACTTTTACGGACACATCTGTTTTTGAATACAATGACTCCTCGGCTCTATTTTGGCTTTTGCCCTCATTGGTATTAAAAAGAATGCTGATGGGCAATTTCACTACTGACAAAGTTGACAGAAGAATGGCCGAGGCTATTGACTTTATGGTTGAAAGGGTAAGTTTAAATTTTCACGTAAATATTAATCATAAAGCTATTTCACACAAAAATTTTACTCTGGATTGTCAGCACTTTGTACATCAAACTCACTTGTACTTATATTCGAAATGCACTTTTATTTGACCTGAACGGTTTCGCCTTATGGCATTGTCAAAGATTATGGCATTATTTCATAAAATCTTTACACAGTATAAATGTAGTTGCTTTTTTTTTTGATACGCTTAGAACTATCAAACTAGGCAACAGATTTTAATGTGGTTTATATACCAATAGAGAAAGTGGTTCAAAAGCCGGGTTTATATCTATAATACATGAATATTATACTTAAGGAAATCCGAGAATTTCAAAGAAATGTAATGTGCTGTCGGAAAAATACATTTTCTTGTACGCTTTCTATGTACTACGGAATTGTAGATAAAAAGTTTTACGGTATATATCTATCTCCTAAGGATAACCCATAGTAACCATTTTTATCTTTTACATTTAAAAAAGTAATGTGTAATTTACGAAGTTATTATTAAACTTAATATTTTAAACTGTAAATAACAAATTACAAGTCCTAACCATTATCCTACTCTACTGTACTCTACTACTTTACAACATGTTACATCACATCACATCACACATCAATAGGCTATAATAGTCCACTGCTGGACATAGACCTCTCCTTAGAAAGGAGGTTTCGGCCTACTGGTATAGTAGAGCTGACCAGACGGGTTGGTATAGGGTTTGTGTCAAGTTCCTCCTTCCATCCTTCTCTTTGCAGTTCTGTTGTCCTGCGTAGTTTGCTCCCTTAGTCGGCTCTTACGACACCCACGGGATGAACATGTTACATATTAGTGATTAAATTAAATTTTTCTTATACCCAAGAATTAACATATATAACCGGTGGAAGAGATAAATAGAATAGGAATTATTTTTTAACACTCAAAGCAACCTGTAGGTAGAATAAATAAAGCTGTTAAATTGTGGTGAAAAAAAATAACTTAAAAATACCTGTATTAATATTATTATTCAGGAAACTTATTTTGTTAGCTTTAAGTGTATCAAGTTTTACGTTTTATAAAGTATTTGTTTTTTTTTATATTTGTAGTATTTTCCAAAATGCTAATAAAATTAATTCTTATAAATCTATGTATATTACACTGGTCGACAGTGGTCATGGCACACGAACTCGGTGATTGTGTTTTGACTACCTATCCTCATTACAGAAGTGCACTGATATTGTTTCAATTACCCTCGGTTTTTTTGTAATTAGGACAAGTTGATTTTTGGTATTGCAGCGATAAACGCGTATGTACAGCGTAAAAAGCGTGTTTTAGATTGTTTTCGTCATGAATTTAAATTGCTCCTAACCCCTTTGTCATTATGCGGTTAACTGACTTTCAAGAATCGAAGGCAAAATGTTTTCTAAATTTATTTTGCGGTGCTATCACGAGTATTTCAATTTTGCGGTGGGTCATCAAGACAAAACTTGGCCTTAATTGATTGGAAGAAAGCCGTTTGCTATTCCCATGATATGGTCCGAGCCTAAAGATCATGTTTGAGACTGCTATTTTTGTCTTACTACAATAAAGGATACAAACCCATAGGCGAAACACACAGTTTGTAGCCTTAATTTATCTTCAGCAATAAGACGCAAGAAGAAAAATTTAACGTTTTAGAAAAATCTGCTTGGCAATGTTACAAGAACGATGTTGCAAATTTTTTGGGTAACCAGTGAGAACCATAAAGAATTTATTAAGGAGCTTCTACTGATATATGAAGCTTTGGGTTGCAATATGTCGCTTAAAATTCACCGCTGGTTTTCTTGCCATAGAATTTAGTGGATATTAAGTGATTAGCATAAAGAAAGGTTCTATTAGGACATTTCAAATATAAAGAAGCGTAACCAGGTTAGATGGGATAAGGATGTTGGCTGAATACTGCTGGACGATCAAAAGGGACCAACCGGAAGCCAAATATCCCAGAAAATTGAAGACCTTCTCTTTACTAGCCACATTATTTACTACACATATTTCTAGAGAACTATTTAATATTTTCCTTGTAATTCATTCTTCTTCACCAAAAAAATATATACGTGATTTAAAAAAATGTGCGTTCTTTTCTCCACAGTACCTAAAACATAGTAGAAACACTAAAAAAGTTCGTGTAGCACAACAAAAATTAAATTTTGTTAACCAGTGTTATTAATGAGTAAGTACATGGTCATGACCGCATTTTGTAAAAATTGAAGGTTACTTGGTAAAGAAATAACAATCCTTCCTACTCAATTCAAATCAAACTATAAGTTAAGGCAGAAACTAAAGAAAACGCAATAATCTTATTCATCATCATCATCATCATTTAGTAGCCTTTATATAGTAGTCCACTGCTGGACATAGGCCTCTACTTAGAAAGTAGATTTTGGCCGACTATACCATGCTGGCTACGGATTGGTATAGGATTGGTTTCAAGTTCTTCTTCACTTTGCAGTGCTGTTGTCATGCGTAGTTAACTCCTTAGTCGTTTCTTGTGACACGCACGGCATGAATAGGGGTGGTGACACTCTGTACTTTTAACCACCCGGAGTATCATGTATGATATCATTACATATTATACCTACTAAAACGCATCTGTATCGAATTGTCGAGAGACTGAAACCAAATGTTGTATGATTGGAACAGGTCACTGTGGGAAATAAAGATGAGAAAACTGGGCAACATTAAAAAAAAGGGAAAGTAATGGATGGAAAGAGGCACTATTATGTATATGGATTGATTGAGGATGGAGGCAATAGATCAAGCAGTCCAGGGTCGTCTGTAACTCAAACTCGGCTGTTGCTAGGACGTCCGAGCCCTCTTAACACCAATAACTATAAATTTGTTTCAGCTTGAATCTCTAACTCAATCCGAATTGGCTTCAAGACTAACGTTGAACTGCACACCATGTTACATAACACCTCAAGCACTAAATAACATTCCAATCACAGTGATGGACGTATGGGATGAAAGTGCTTTAAGTTCTCGAGTTCGTGAAGACTTATACAAATCATATCCTCATGCAAAACTAGCTCATTTAAAGAGTGGCGGCAACTTTCCTTATTTAAGCAGAAGTGATGAAGTAAACTTACATTTATTAGTAAGTGTATTTTAATATTATTTTGTTATAATAATCTGCAACCTTGTTATACACCTGCTGTTTATGCAATAATGTATACAAGGTAAATTAAATAGACTCAATGTTTAAATAAGACGCTAATGAGTGTAAAACATGTTACATTCGGAATTAATTAATGGTTCTATATAATAATAACTTCACACATCTCATATACCATCTATATTGTATACTAGCTGGTACCCGCGACTTCGTTTGCGTGGAATTTGAATTGAAAATGTTTATGTAATTTAAGCGCTGCCTTAGTGGTGTTCTACGGTACGCGACTGCAGTCCATGAGGCCTCGAGTTTGATTCCCGGACCGTACAAAATTTTACACGGTGTTTCTGAGAGGAAAAATAGCCTAATTTACTCCTTATATAGACAGCTACCTGGTAGTAAAATATTATCAAAATCGGTCCAGCCTTTTTGAAGATTACTCAGAACAAACAGACAGGCAGACAAAATATATTTAAACTGGTTTTTAGGCAAAAGGATCGTGCAAATAACCTATTCTCTATCTATTATTTCGAAAAAATTTCTACTTTTTTGTTTCAGATACATTTACGAAAGTTCGATGGAACATTACTATCAGCATCATATCTCAGTCTTCACAAAATGCCAGCGCTTTCAGTTAACCAGCCCGAAGAAGGAACAGTTAGTTACTTTAACCAGAGAGAAAAATTCGTTAAAATATCTTAAATATCTTAGGTATGTATATATATATATACAATACATAATTCAAATGTTCTATCCATTTACAACTTCAAAACCAGTAATTTAATTTATTAATTTAAGTATCTTTTAGACCATCGTTTAAATAAGCATACCGCACGATTTCTTTTGACCAACCTTTACAGTGGGTTGGTTTTATGTTCAATTTTATTTTGTGCTTCACTATAATATTTTGGAGGCTTAGGCTTTTTATGGAGACGTTTTTCCTTTGTGGAGATGACAATATGATGGTTAGTTATTGCAGACGACCTCGACTGCGAACAATGTGGTCGACTATTTTGAGATGTGCTATAGCCCGCATATAAGAATTCACCAAAAACCGTTTTGGGCTTTGCAGTTTGTCTTGGATTTGTACCTTGAACTTATCTAATTCCAACTGGACAATCGACGTGGAATAAAAATATTTCAATGCAAATATTTCTTTTTTTTGTATAGTTTGTATGTTATACCCAAATACTAGCTGCGCCCGCGGTGTTACCGTAGCAAATATATTTCAATGCCTTGCTCATCCCACAGGAAAACTACATTTTTTGCCCCATAAAAAGTAGCCTATGTGTTAACCCAGGGTGTCAGCCACCTGGATACCAAATTTCATCAACGTTGGTCATGCCTAGAGGATCCCGGTCATATTGTAGTCCCGAAATTTTCGGGATCAAATTTAATGAATCCCGGGATTTTTGGGATTGATACATTTTTTACATAAGTCAATAAAATGTGTGTAAAAAGAAACGCACTTGCCTTGATTTGATGTTTTGACAGCCATCTTGTCTACACAGCTGATTTCATTTGTTTTGCTAATGACCGGTTCTGGATTATGCGTAAAAGTGTATAATTTATAAAGTTTCTGGGCAATTTAATTAAAAAATATGAATAGGTATCTATAAACATTGGTCTCTTAAGCATATCGCAGTCCCCGACGAACACTATGGTAATCGCTATTACAATAGAATCGGGTTTATTAAATATTCGTTATCTACACACCCTATTACAATAATTGAATTTTTTTTATGATCGGGCGATGAATACTTTTGGATTTATCCATTCAATAATGATCTTTATGTTTTTGTTCAACGTATAACATAAGTGAAAAATTTACACGATCAATAACGCAAAAACCTATTACCAAATCTCAAAAGTCAACCTTTTAGAGTAAGCGGCTATTACCATATTGTTCGACGGAAAAATGACAGAATCTTATTAGTGGAAAGAATTGGTTAAACGACACCCAAGGCCGATAAATTCAGTGGTCGAAATTGATGGAGGTGGGAATTTCTCATTTGAAACCAACTATTTTACAGTAAAAGTATGACTTCGACAATGATTCATTCGAGTTGGATACAAAACTTCAACTAAACAAACCCAAACGAGGACGGAAACTCGTCCCTGGCCAGGTTGATGTACAAACACCCAAAAATGTTTACAGCCACCCTTTACCTATCACCAAGGCTCTCTTACAACCCTTTTTGCATTTAAAAGTAGTATATGTCCTTCCTCAGGCTCTAGGGTATCTGTGTAGTAATTTAATGTAAATCGGTTCAGTACTTTTAGCGTGAAAGCTACACAGACAGACAGAGTTACTTTCGCATTTATAATATTAGTAAGGATTGTATGTGTTGCTAGATTATAAGCTGACAATATTTAGGTTCAATTTACAGTGCTACAAATAACCCGTGTCCGTGTAGTGACGGATTAAGAATACGGAATGTCACTACCCCAATTCATCCCGTGGGTGTCGTAAGAGGCGACTAAGGGCGCAAAACAACGCAGGACACCAGCACTGCAAAAAGAAGGAAAACTTGATACAATCCCTATACCAACCCGTCTGGCCAGCGTGGTATAGTAGGCCAAAACCTTCCTTTTGTAAGGAGAGGCCTATGTCCAGCAGTGGACTATTAAAGGCTGTTGATGTGATGTGACAAATAACCCTTTTTCTTTTTTTTTCCGTGCGGAAATCCCCTCGGATACCACATATCGGTGGCATGTCGGACACGAACCGACCAAAACCGCACGCCGTCTCGGGTACTAATAGCCGGGGAACCAGGTATACCCTAGAAAGGAAGTCGCTGGTGCCCCGACATTCCTCGGGCCATCTACAGACGAGTAGATGTCCTCCCCCCCGTGTGGAAACCCCATGTTCCCTCAAGCGAGCGCGCTTCGCAACGCGCTCGCCGCCACCCCGGCCTGCTTCTGCTAGGGTGACAGATGGTCTCACCTGTCACCCCCAGGCCTGCGCTTATGGAGGACGGAGATCGTTCTGCGACCTTCGGCGCCTGAGTCGCCTGCGGTACCTGGCCCGGAAAGGTCCTGGCGGGCCGGGAGAGTTCTAAACCTCTCCCGGTCCCGCTCCGCCGTCTCCTTCGCGAGCATAACTTGCTCGCAGAAGGAGACGGCAGAGTTCCACGCACTCTCGCTCCGCACGATAGCCGCAATCAGGCTATCGAGCGAGAGAACTCCCACTCCGATGGCCGCCACGAGGTCTCGCCTCTGCTCAACCCACGCCGGGCACTCTGCCAGCGTGTGGAGAGCCGTGTCCACGGTCTGGCCATCGCAGTGGTGGCACTCAGGCGTTGGCTCCTTGCGGATCAGACACAGGTGATCCCCGAAACATCCTTTCCCAGTGATCACTTGCGTCAGTCGGTATGAGGGTCCCGTGACGCCTCTCGAGCCGATCCTTCATAACGGGTCTTACCGCCGCGATGACGGCGTGCCCGGCTACAAATAAGCCTGTAAAATTAATACAATATGCATCAAAACATAAATAGATAAATAATGTCAAATTTAAAGTAATAGACACATAAAAACTTTATTTATACATAGGTACCGAAATGGTTAATTTTGCTGCTTACCTTTCATAACACCTAAAAATGATCATCGAATAAGCATGTAATTTATGTTTACCGTAATATTAAAGTCAGTTATATCATCGAATACGATTGCAATGTCATTTTACGAATATAAAGTATATTCATGTTTACCATGGAACAATATCATAATGAACGATTACTACAGCAACACCGATTTGTGATTACAGTCGAACACTATCGTAAAGTTAGTTTGCGTTATTTTTTTCCATAGCTTATTTCAGTAATGGACATTTTCACAATTTTCTTACTGATAAAGAAAATTTATGATAAAAATTTAGTAAAAATGTAGTGCAAAAAAATATTCCCTTGATAAAAGAATCTTCTTTTTAGTCTTGATAGTATTCAAGATATTCAGTTTTTATTTGCTCCTGTAAAATTGTCATTTTCCTATTACGATTTTGTTCGTCGGGGACTGCGATATACTAACTTTTAAACTTTCGCGTTCCATGATAATTAATATTATTTTAACGGGAATTAACGCGATCTCTTATTTAGGGTATTACATACCTCTGGTTTGCCTGACGTTTCGACCAGGTTGCACCGGCCGTGGTCACAGGCTGACTGGATCGTCGGCGCACGCCCTCCGTCGTCGAATCCGTGAAGTAGAAGGCTCTTCATCTACCCGCACATTTTCGATATTGTTGTTGTTTTTGTGTCGCCATGTACCGTCACATACCACACTAACAGTGTCCCTATTCTGTAAGCAAATCGATGAGTCCCTATTCTGGTGTTTAACCGATTGCGCAGAAAAGCGAGGTGGTATGTTTTTTAACACTGGATTCCACGCTGAGGATAATTTAAAACCATCCTCCCGATTGAAAGTTTTATGCTTTTTAATCTCAATCGCTTCACGTACAACTCTTGAGTAAAAGTGACGTTCGTGAAGTGACGTTCGCAAACCAGAGGTATGTAATACCCTAAATAAGAGATCGCGTTAATTCCCGTTAAAATAATATTAATTCTTAAGCATATAGTTCTTTTTTTATAGTTTATCTAAATAAGTCTAAAGAAGTTGATTTTTTGAAGTTTATTGTTAGTTTCATAAATTACTTACCGCAACACAAAACAAAATAGGCACTAGTTTGATTATTTTATAAGAAGAAAGTATAATTTTTTTAGCCGCCTTTTTGAAGATTTAAAACCTAAATATTCTATGTCCTCACAAAACTAAATGATAAACAAAAAAAATATTTTGATATGTTTTACTGTCTTTTTGTTACCACTTTCCATTGCCAATACAATCCCGGGACTATCCCGGGATCCCGAGATTAACTGTAGATAATCCCGGGATTATAAAAATCGACCGGGATCGAATCCTCTAGTCATGCCGTTTGAGCGTGAAAAAGTAACAGAATACAAATACACATAAACTTTCGATTTTATAATATTAATGTGATTGTTGTATAAGGCATGTGTCAATTCCGTACCCTGAAAAATTACTCTTACAACATCCCTTTCAACATTTTATACAATTTTCTTAATTTATTCTTATTCCATGTCATGGGTATTCTTTATGGTAGGGATAGTACTCGTACTTAGAAACTAGCTTCTGAAATTACACGACACTGAAACACTACCTTTTTATGTATGGAATCCCCACAGACATCATCACCACCACCGGATTTTTGGAGGCGTGTCGGAATCACACTATGTCCATTACTATGATTTCCACTTATTTTCATTATATACAAGAGGGCGAATGTCTACTAGTTAAACAGTATTCATCTCCATTACAGTGAGATAATTTAATCTTCAATAGGTAGTCATAAATATGCAATACAGTGCAAATATTGCATATTTATGATTATTTTGGAAGCTTCCTTCCATCATCATCTGCCTACCCTTTTCCCAATTTTATTTGGGGTCGGCGCAGTATGTATGATTTTTCCATTCTACTCTGTCATGCGTCATCTCACTGTTTACTCCCTTCCTAGCCATATCCTCCCTCACGCAGTCCATCCACCTTTTCTTCAACCCTTGTACCCTTCAACTCCCATACCTAAAACTTTCTTCGCCACATTTTCCTCATCCCTCCGCATGACATGTCCACACCAAGATAACCTATTACTTCTTAACTTTTCATCCAGTGGCGCTACTTTCAGACTCCCTCGTATATACTCATTCCTAACCTTGTCCATCTGAGTCACACCACACATCCATCTCAGCATTCGCATTTCGGCTACATTCAGGCCTCTCTCATCCGTTCTCTTAATGGGCCAACTTTCAGAACCATACAGGACGGCAGGTCTGAATAGTTTTATAAAATTGTCCCTTCAGTGTTAAGGGGAAACTGGGGGTCACAAGTTGTTCCCGTTACCTGCTGCCACTTCCTTCCATGGAGCATATATTAAAAAAAGGTGCAGTTAGGGATTTTATGAAGACTAAACAATTTGTTTAATAGATCGATACTATTATGGATAGGTTTGTCTTCTGTTCTAAATAGGATGACGATGGCAATCTAGATTAATGTTAAAAGAAAGATATTTTTTTATGATATTTAAAATCTTTATTGTTATTTTCGCAAGAGTTCAACAATAAAACTTAAATGACCAATTAATGAGATATGATTTCTATTTTAAAAATATTGTACATCTGTACATCTTTTTACTTTCGATTATCATTGGAACTAGCTGAGTTTATTGTCCAATATCAGAAAATAAATGCTTTTAGCTGAAAATTACTGTTCAGCATTCATTCTAAATTAATAAAATTAATTATTATTCAGAATTATGACCGGTGCACAACAGTACACAACATAAACCCATGTTGTTGCTATTCTTAACAATTTTATTAACAGGTACTATAACACTTCTATGTATCCTTTTCTAATTTATTTAACAATTGATCTTTTTTGTCTTTCTGAGCTTGTAACGCCTTAGCTCTTTCTTCATCATCTGAAAAATATTCAGATAAACTGTCATCCTCATTGATCACAGGTTGACCCGCCAAAGTAGATCCTTTTTCTGTTAATGCATTAAGTTTGACTAGAGGATCTTCGTAAGTAATGTCGGCTGGTTCCGGCTGACTTTTAAATGCATGATGCGAATTTACTGCTGAATATATTGACATAGCCTGTAAAGATATATTGAAAATTTGAATGACACAAACTGATATGTCAAAAATGATGCTACAAAATTAAGAATGCAATCAAGTGTTTAAATGGACACAGAAAAGACTAGTTAGTTATGAAGAATATGAGGTAGGTTAATATTTATTAAGTTTCTGACTCTAACTGAGGCACAAAAGCTGAGACAATATATAATAAGAGTTGATCAGAATGCAGGAGCAGAGGGCAGGACCGGGAGAGGTTTAGAACTCTCCCGGCCCGCCAGGCCCGGGAACAGGCTAGGTACCGCAGGCGACTCAGGCGCCGGAGGTCGCGGAACGACCTCCGTCCTCCATAAGCGCAGGCCTGGGGGTGACAGGTGAGGCCATCTGTCACCCTAGCAGAAGCAGGCCGGGGTGGCGGCGAGCGCGTTGCGAAGCGCGCTCGCTTCCAGAGAACAGAGGGAACATGGGGTGTAACAGTTATTTTTTTGTACATTTGTTGGTCTTGTTAAAAGCTACATCTATTAGCCGCGTTGCATTGTTTTTAATTTATCTAAGGTAGTTTATAACTACAGTTTTGATCTTCTGTGTTCACTGATATTAAATGTCAAAGTAAAATGTTGAAGAGGGGTTATTTTCTGGAAGCTTCGTTAACCGAAGATATATAAGTCCGGCTTTCTGCCACGGGAGAGACTGCTATCTCGTGCCTTCCAACCTTAAATAGTGTTTTGATTGTCGTGTAATTTGAATTTCGTAATATGTAGTCTGTTATAATCTACCCACTAATGTGGTAAGTATTCTCTCAATTCTTCTTAAACCTATTTGTTTCTGGAACCTGTTTAATTTATATGAGTGCTAATCCATTCGTAGGGTCCCAGATTTCGGGGTCAAGACGGTCAGTCTTAGACGGTGTGCTTGCTCTTTTGTGGCCTTCTGGTACAGACTCAAGTTTCTCGGTACCCTCTGGCAAAGCTGGTGATTGCGCGGCTCACGACGCAAGCGGACAGCCGTACCCAAGAGTTACGTACTAAAACTTATAATTGTAATTTATTAAACTTTTATCCATATCCAATATAAATAGCCGACTCGGGCGGAAGAGGAAGTAACCTCCTGGAGGGACGACGAGGTGGCACCGAGCACCATCAGCTCGGCTCTAACGCGCACCGCTGCGGTTTTTTTTTTTTCTTTTTCGTGTACCCACACTGTTTAATTAGTTTAATTTGATCTACTTTTTCTCTGAAATATACATGTATGTATAACTGAGGTGTAAGTTGTTTTCCTCTAAAGAGTCCCATAGGTTTCCCACACGCACACACTTCTATTCTCATACAAGGCGCCCTGAGGTAATCTCTTGAATCTCTCCACTGGGTCAGCCGGTGAGTAGTCCGCCAGAGAGGAAAAGCGGCTACAGGGGTTCCCACACGGGGGGGTCGTCTACTCGTCTGTAGATGGCCCGAGGTATGTCGGGGCACCAGGGACTTCTTTTCTAGGGTATACCTGGTTCCCCGGCTATTAGTACCCGCGACGGCGTGTGGTTTTAGTCGGTTCGAGTCCGACATGCCACCGATAGGTGGTATCCGAGGGGACTTCCGCACGGGAAAAAAAAAAAACGAGCAGAGGGCAACACAGATATTGATTTACGCCAATAATGAGAAGGAATATACCATTACTGACGATTGTAATACTACCATAAATATTTTATAGTGGTGTATCAGTGCCTTGTCACTCGTCACCAACTCAAGATCGTGTCTGAGTTGTGTATGTGCTACATTTTCTTAGAAGTCTGATAGAAAATCTTACATTACCTGAGCTACAAAATTTGATACATCTCCTGCATTCGCTGGTAATATGAGGGTATTGTTTGTCCTCGCCAGCTTGTTAAACGCTGAGACGTACTGCTCAGCAAGTGTCAGCGATGCTGCATACTTGCTATCCTAAAATAAAATACATCAATTACTCTAACTGAATTATGTCGTATAATAACACTTGATGAACATTACATAATATGAACTGTTAACTTTCGACAAGTTAGGACTAAAAACAACTCTGAACAAATTCTGTTTATAACTAAAAGAAAATATTCATCAACATTTTATAGGTATTTTGCAATTTTTTCGCAAGATTAACATAATGTTCTGATAATAACAATCATGTGACAATTACTCGATGTCTATTTTGTAACTTTAACTTCTACTCTAATAAAAAAATTGATGCAAATCAATGGATTCGTTTCCATGATACATGAAAAAATGTTTGTGTAAAGTTATTAGGTAGATAGACAAGTTGAATACCTTGTCCGATAGTGCGCTACTAATGAGCTTCAGGCCGCGAGCGCGAGCATCTGCTACGGCGAGCATTGCTTGCGCCTCACCAGAAGCTTTATTAATTTGCTCTTGTTTTTCAGCCTCTTGAAAGGTAAAGGTATCATAAATTTTCGTTAGTCCAGCATTCCATTGTATACAATTCCTTGATTTCAATTCGGTTGGATAGATAAAAATAACAACCGATCTTATTTTTAATGTTACTGTTATGTGCAAATAATAGTCAATTCAATTATCACAGAGTGATCTCTGCCAGACAGGGTGTCTGTGTGTAGGATAGATATAGTATCAGGAATTACGGTTAATAGTGTATGTGGAGTTGTAAAGTAATTAATAAAGTACCTGAAGCTAATATTCGAGCTTGACGCTTGCCCTCCGCGACATTGATATCAGCAGCACGAACACCTTCAGATTCCAGAATAGCCGCTCTTTTCCTACGTTCTGCTTCCACTTGCATCTGCATAGCTTCATGAACACGGGTCGGTAATTTTATATCACCTGTAATAATTGTTTCAATTTGACATAAGTGAAAAAAACGTAATCATTTTTATGCAAAATCAATTCTATCAAACAAGCAAAACCAATCTCTCTTGGCTAGCTCTCGTATTACCCGAATCTACCTCACTGTCAATTTGCCCACTTGATGCTTGCCACCAAGCGTTCCAGTCAAAACTGGAAAACCGATTCGCTGCCGTGGAAACCACAATCGACGTAAACCAGAACCTCAAAAATGTGGTTCGGATCCTCAGGGAAGAAGGTATGAGATTTTGTGAAATGCAGCGTAAGGGCAGGAAGTCGAAGCTTTCAGAAAGGACCCTAGGGCTGATGAAGAAACGACGTGAAAACCCACCTGTCACTTTGTCGGCAAAGCGGACTCTAAACCGAGAGATCAATAAACTTGTACGACACGACCTCCGGTGCTCCAATACTCTTTCAATTGAAAGAGCGATCGAGCAAAATCGGGGGTCAAAAGTGTTCATACAATCTCTTGGAAGAAGCCACCTGACAAAGTTCACTACAGAAAGTGGAGAAGTCGTTGCTTCGAAGCCGGCAGTCCTTTTGGAAGTGGAAAGCTTCTATGGCCGGTTATACGCTTCGCATGCATCTCGACCTGATCCCGAAAATGAGGACTCTAGAGCCACATTAACACGTCACTACACCGAAGACCTGCCAGAAGTTAGCATTGACGAAATCGAGATGGCTCTTGGACAGCTGAAAAATGGAAAAGCCCCTGGAGAGGATGGCGTTACAACAGAGCTGCTGAAGGCCGGTTTAGAGCTCGAAAAGCTCTTCAACGCTGTCCTGTTTGAAGGAAGAACTCCGGAAGCGTGGAGTAGGAGTGTGGTCGTCTTGTTCTTCAAAAAGGGTGACAAGACCAGGTTGAAGAACTATCGACCCATATCCCTTCTAAGCCACGTCTACAAGCTGTTTTCGAGACTCATCACGAACCGTCTTGCGCAAAGACTCGACGAATTCCAACCACCGGAGCAAGCTGGGTTTCGGAGCGGATATGGCACCATAGACCACATCCACACAGTGCTGCAGATTATACAGAAGACCGAAGAATATAATCAGCCCCTGTGTCTAGCATTCGTGGACTATGAGAAAGCCTTTGACTCGATCGAGACCTGGTCTGTTCTGGAGTCCCTGCAGCGTTGCCAAATAGATTGGCGATACATCCAAGTGATGAGATGTCTCTACGAAGCCGCCACCATGTCCGTCCAAGTACAGAATCAGCAAACAAGGCCCGTACCATTGCATCGAGGAGTGAGACAAGGGGACGTTATTTCCCCGAAATTGTTCACAAATGCAATGGAGGACATGTTCAAGACGCTGCACTGGAAAGGGTGTGGCATCAATGTCAATGACGAATACATCTCTCACTTGCGATTTGCAGATGACATCGTCATCATGGCAGAGACGTTGCAGGACTTACAGCAAATGCTGAATGACTTAGCTGACACTTCTGTACGCATCGGCCTACGAATGAACTTGGATAAAACCAAGGTCATGTTCAACGAACATGTACTACCGGAACCGATTGCGGTACACGGTGCCGTTCTCGAAGTTGATTAAAATTATGTGTACCTCGGGCAGACATTGCAGTTAGGTAGAAACAACTTCGAGGACGAGGTGAACAGAAGAGTTCGGTTGGGTTGGGCAGCGTTTGGGAAGCTACTTCGAGTCTTCTCATCGTCGATCCCACAGTGCCTTAAGACGAAAGTCTTTAATGAGTGCGTCCTACCCGTCATGACATAGGGAGCTGAAACGTGGACACTTACGGTACGGCTGGTCCACAAGTTCAAAGTCGCTCAACATGCTATGGAAAGGGCTATGCTCGGCGTTTCTCTAAGGGATCGCATCAGAAATGAGGTGATCCGGCAGAGAACCAAGGTCACCGACATAACGTACCGAATCAGCAAGCTGAAGTGGCAGTAGGCTGGCCATATTAGCCGCAGAACCGATAACCGTTGGGAAAACGAGTTCTTGAGTGGAGACCGCGTCTCGGCAAACGTAGTGTAGGACGCCCACGGGCCAGGGCCATAGGCTGATGGTGATGATGATGATGATGCTTGCCACAATATTTTTGCTTCTTATTACATGGTTTATAATAGGCTTCTGCCTACCCCTTCAGGTATACAGGTGTGCGTGGATATATTTGTAAATAATCTTTATTTAAATATATTTAAAAAAAAACTTTCTAATTTATTTGATGATGTTTAAAAATAAAATAAACTGATGTTTTTAATACTCACGAATTTCATAACGGAGACAAGTGATACCCCATGCTTCACTGGCCTTATTAATTGCATGTACCATTGACACATTTAACGACTCTCGTTCTCTAAATACTTTATCCAGTGATATTTGACCAAGTTCAGAACGCATCGTAGTTTGAGCCAGCTGGGTAATAGCAAATTCAGGATCTTCAACACCATATGATGCTAAAATAAAGGCAACATTGTAGGAAACTATAAGGTAGACTAAATTAAATCAAAGCAGGATTGCCACTTTATAGATGGAATGGATAGAAAAAAAAAGATGTGTGATGCTTCTGGTCTAAGCATCTAAATAATATAAGGCACTAATCCTAACATCTTAATGCAGATACTATATAGCATCTGCAGTGTAACTTAGACAACAGGGACAGGACAACTAGTTCTCATTACCCTGTAATTTTCTTGTGACTTCTAGTTACTATGTTCAAGTTAAGATGTGGACAATTACATAATAGTCACAATAAATTATCTTTATTTTACATATCATAATAACAGATCGCAGGGAATAAAGAGTAGTGGAGATTGCTCTACTAACAAGGGCTTGCCTCTTAAATTGAGAGAGGGAAACTTCAATTGATTTCTTAATATATTTCCATTTGTATACTTAATTTATTCAGCTTCAAAATTGTCATGAAATATCTTTTAAAAGAATTTTGATAATGCTAATATAGGTAACAATAATGGCGTGAGAAAATTAATCAGTCATATTCATAATTGTGTCCGTATGGATTGAGAAGGAGCCATGCCAGATTTTCAACGGAAACTCTCCCCTTATTTAGTAGGTGATTGGTCGGTGCTTTGAAGAATTTTACAGTGAGAATCATAGTAGTCTTAACAAAACATCTCATCCTTTGTTAGGTAGTGACATATTTTAGTTGTCCCATGCCAGCGTCGCTAAGTGCAGGGATAAATTCTAGAACACCAGCAGGTAGGATAATATTATTATACTACCTGCTACCACCTATTTTTGCCGCGTTTGCCGAAAATAATAGTTAAATATAAAAGTAATAATTCACTATGTCTGCAATAACTATTTGTCAGTGTTGAGATACTGAATCTTGTGCCGTGGTGTATAGTGAAAGGGAGCTAAATAAATATTATTGAGAGTAGGTAGGTAACCACATTAATTTGCAGTTACCCCCCAAATAATTACCTTTTATATAAGTTATTCATGGATACCCTACAAAAAAATGTAAGGTAATTAAAGAATAGCTAATAACTTTGTAGATACTGTACTTTTTTATGACAGGATTATATGTACATTTAGTATAAACTTATACAAAATATACGTACATTTAGTATAAACTTATACAAAATATACATACATTTAGTATAAACTTATACAAAATATACGTACATTTAGTATAAATTTATACAAAATATACATACATTTAGTATAAATTTATACAAAATATAATTTTTTTATGTTCCAAATTCCTTCCAAAAAGTATATTAGAGTCAAATCTATTTACCAAAGCATCTTAACTGAGAAGCCAGTTAAAATGTGCCATATCTCCACATTCACTCATTTTTTATTACTGACTCTTTACACTACAAATTTCATATACTTACTACTAAATAATGAAGAAGTCGGGCATTAATAGAAAGACTGCTTCTTTGAAAAATGATAATCATATGTATGGTCTGAGCCACATATATAAAGTATGGTAACTTTTTTAATTTTGACATTACTGAGCTCAGATTTTGTGTACTACTCTCAAATACTACAAAATCATACTAAATTAAGATATATCTATCTATCTAATATATGTTCCTAGTTTTGATGTGGCCACCTTTATGTTCATATAACTTTAAAAGTATTTTACTACAAAGTCGAGGATAGAGGCTACAAGTTTTTATAATTTACTCCTATATATTAGTAACTACTGAAGTGACTAATATAAAGTGACAAAATTTTAAAATATTCCTAACTTAAAAGTGACTTTTTTTATTATTATGGAAAAATGGGCAAACAAGCAGATGGGTCATTGGATGGCAAGTGATTGCCCCCGATTGAGTGAGCACCGCAAATGAATAACTGCAATTTGTGAGTTACAAGTGTGTTGCCATCCTTTAAGAATCTCAAACCAGGAATTTTTGAATTTTTGTTATTTTCTTCACTTGCTTGATTTCACCCTCATAAATAAATATATGTTATGGCATGCTTAAGTTATACCAATTTATTTATTTCAAAACTTTACCTGTTATTCTCCAAAACAGGTTTTTAGCACTTAATGTTAAACTTTTGTACACTATGGGTCCGTGTGGTGACGGATTAAGAATACAAATTGTCACTACCCCAATTCATCCCGTGGGTGTCGTAAGAGCCGACTAAGGGAGCAAACTAAGCAGGACAACAGCACTGCAAAGAGAAGGAAAACTTGAAACAAACCCTATACCAACCTGTCTGGCCAGCGTGGTATAGTAGGCCAAAACCTCCTTTCTAAGGAGAGGCCTATGTCCAGCAGTGGACTAGTATAGGCTGTTGATGATGATGATGATGACACTATGGGTATGATTTATATTGATTATGGGTATATTAAAGTTTTTAGAATTATTTTGTTGCTATATGATATTGCTGCAGGAAAGCAACATCATAGAAAAGGAAATGTTAAAAAGATATAATAATTACTCTTCTCTTCAGTAAATATTACAAAAAATTTAAACTGTTAGAACATACCTAGATATGGGTCTATAATACGAAGATAAAGAACTCCATCAATGCTCAATGTGACATTGTCAGACGTGATGGCACTTTGTTTTGGAACATCTATAGCTATTTCCTTCAAACTCTGCACATATTTGATTTTGTCAACAATTGGCCACAGCAAATTCAAACCAGGTTCCAATATTCTGTGAAATTTACCCATTCGCTCCACAATCCATGCCTGTAAAAAACAACATTTCCTCTCTTATATGAAAAGAAATCATACATTTATGAAATTCTGATAATTTTTTTTTATTTATAAAATATTAACAATCATAACGACAGAAACGGAGAGAAAAAAATATTTTGCCCATACATAACATTACAATTACATGTAGTATTAAGATTGCAAGAATTTTTATTAAATTGCATACCTCCTGTTGTGGAACAAACATTACTATAGTATTAAGCGGGGTTGTTGATCGGCATCTTGTGGCTGTTATGCTATACAAAACTCTAGCATTATCTTGATATTGCTGGTTAAAAATACTCTGAAAACAATTTATTTATGTTAGGTTATGTACCAAGTCACCTCACATTATTATGTAAATAAGTAACTTATTCTAAGTACATACCCTCAAAGAGAGAGTTTTAGCAAAAAAGTATCGCGACCGGGTGAACATATTACATATATATTACTATAACGTTAAGAATCTTCACAGTCTATTCATCATTTCGCTTTTAATTCCGAAAATATACGGCCATCAAAATGATTAAAATGAAACGTCAAGATCGAGGACATCGAGTAGCTAAAAACAAAGACAAAAGAGTAAATAAACCACAGAACCTTAACAACAGAGGTGTAGTGGATTGTCATCACCATAAATTTTAGGCGATTTAAATAGTTCCTTAACACTCACTGTTGACTTAAAAAGAAAAGTGAGCATCTCTATTTTTTTTGACAAGCGGTAGATTTAAAATGAATGTTTGATCAATACATTATTTCAATAAGTAAAATGGATACCTCTGTAAGATTAAGTAATACATATCACTCTAATAACAATAAAGCAAGTACTTCCGCAAGTTCAAGTTTAACGGCAAAATTAAGAAGACTGAAGATAGAAGAAAGTATTTTAATGCAAAGTTTATTTAATAGTAATTCAATGTGCTCTCAGAATAATAGATCAGAAGCAGATCCAAAGAACTATTTAATGTTAACAGAGTTCAAAAAATATTTAGATGAGACAAAAACAACCTTCAATACATTAAAATTATTATTTCAAGATATCAAGACGAGCACATCTTCCAAAGAAGTAATAAAGTCACTTGGTAAGTATTAGTGAGTGACGCCTGCGGTAGTGCTAAGCAACTAATTTGGTTTGTTTGAATAAAAGTTTGGATTGGTCTGGACTTTGATTATCCAAAAATGTTTAAAATTCTTGTTTTATCTAACTGGGTGGTTAAAGAAGTGTAAGTTTTTTTTACTTATAATAGAGCTTTGTATAAAGATCCTCGCATTTTAGCTCAATTTTTTTTTACACAAAATCTAGTCTACAAAATATGCTATTTGATGGAAAGATGATTTGATGGATGGTTATTTACTTTTATTAATTAACGATTTTTTTATATTAAAAACAATTATTTATTTTTTAGATATTGATGACATAAAGAATAATATCCTTGAGCTGGAAAACAAGATCAAGGCTTTTAAGATACATCTACAGAAGGAATTAACTGCATTAAAATCTGCTGAGCGACAAATAAATCAAAAGGTTAGAAAACCGTGTATTTCCGTGGGAAGTCGCCCACCGGACAACCGGTGGACTGGTTATGGATTTTGTTTCTGACTAGCTGACCCGGCGAACTTATCTGTATAAATAAAACAAATTCAGATTAGTTAGTTATTTATTTTGCAATTGGGGTAAAGTTTAAATACAACCCAGTTACAATTAAAGTTAAACCAATTTCAATAATATTTTATATAAACATTTTTTGTCTTTTTTGTGGTGCGTAAATATATTCCTAAGGATGATGGTTTTAAGACGGGAACAGGCGACGTATACTTGTCCATGAGAGGAACAATGAAACGCTGAGGTGGAACTCCAAATTGAATCCGCAAACTTCTAACTGCGACTGACTGCCCTTGCGATTTATTTATGGTCATCGCAAATTCAAAACGCACTGGAAATTGTAGACGCTTAAATCAGAAGGTATCTGTTGGAATCATCGGAATAGGCGGGATCAAGATATCCCCTCCTTTGTACTTGATTGATGATTTTTGCCTCTATGACGTTGTTCATTAAATTTTACACGGTCGCAACTATCGTTCCATTGCACACTCGAGGTTGGTTAATATTACGCAGCATGATCACAACTGATCCTACTTTTAATTTTAAATTGTGAGGTCGGAGTCCAGGCAATTCTAAAGAATTTAAAAACTCTGTGGGATAGTTGACTACGTCATCCTGTTTTATAACTGTATCAACTGATTTGAATGAAAACAAGTCCCCAGAAGAAAATTCTGTATGGTCGCATTGTGTATCATCGACATCTGTATTTTTTGCGGCCAATATTACTGGGTCACTCAGCCGATTATGGTTAATGTACTGTTGCGTTAGAAAAACACGGAGAATAAGCTCCTCTTTCAAGTCTGTGATGTGACAGAAATCTGTAGGTAACGTAATTAATCCGGTCGAAGTGTCAATGGCGACTTTATCATTTCCAATGTTTAACAACTGCTTCGAAAACACATCTCCAACTTGATCTTGTTGGCAAAACACTCGTATCATCATCAACAGCCTTAGACATAGGCCTCCCCTTAGAAAGTAGGTTTTGGCCTACTATACACTCGTATTACGTGACGCTACAAATTTGGGTTGTTGTCGTCCGCAACAGTTGATCGGGGAATCACTTGAATAGTTAGACCAAAGTCACCTGACAACAGAACCATAGCACCACCAAAAAATGTTTTGGTTGTCATGAATATCTTTCAAAGTTCTGTCCAGTGCTTCCAGTGACCTCTTTTGGGCCATCGTGCATTCGTCCAAAATGATTAAGTTGCACACCGTTAAAATCTTTGCCATTGCGCTGGTTTTGGCGATGTTGCAAGCTGGTGTTTCATTGATTTGCACGTTCAATGGTAATTTAAAGGCAGAATGTGCAGTTCGTCCGCCTTCTAATAAAGTCTCCCAGAGCATCAAGGAAGTAAATTCCGCCAAATTCATTGTTCACAGCTTTTATCAATGTATCATACAAAAAAAAACAATTCTGGGTATATAATTTATGGAGCTTTTAAGTAAAATCCGAAATAATAATCTTCTTTATTTCTTTTTAGTTGAATGATCCAGTGACCATAAAGTACTTGAAAAGAAAACCTAGAGTGCAAACTGCAAAATACACTGAAATAGTGCAAAGTCCTGTTAAAACATTAATGACGTCTCCGCTCAAAAGTACAGTGAGTTATCTTTATCTACTTACCTTATAGTTACGAAAACAAGTAAAACACTTATTTGGTAGTAACATCAATTTAATTAGAATTTAGCAACGCTCTACAGCTTCACTGTGGCTGCGGTTGCGCCTACGGACGAATAAAAACGGTGGTTAGGCCCTTTGGATTTTATAGTTTTCAAAAATAAAGGGTGTCTCAGTAAGAGTGCACTTAAATTTAGATTTTCTTTTCTGTGCAAGTGGCAGCTCCGAAATTTGAAAGCTGTCACCTGTGTTTATTCCGATTATTAAAAATGAGCGCATTTCGAAAGATTAGAAGAATATAACGCGTTATAATTGTGAAAACTCATTACAAAAATGGGGAAAGTTACGCTGAAACCACTCACAAACTTCGCCAAATTTTCAGTCGAGAAAGTGCACCTAATGTGTCCACCATTCGAAGGGTGGTCAAAAAATTTGAAAAAACTGGGTCGATTATGGATATTATGAATCCTTTCCGTCAACGTAGTGGTAGGTCTCTTGAAAACATTGCTGCTATAAACGACGGTGTCGAAAACTCGAAAACATCAATTCGGCATCATTCTCAACAACTTCAAATTTCACGGAGCACTACGTAGCGAATTTTGAAAAAGATCTCAAATCAGCAGACCATGTAAAGCGCCGGCAATTCGTTCCATGGGTAATGGAGCAAAGTGAAGTCAATGCCAATTTTTCGAAAAAAGGCAACTCCTCCGATGAAGCGCATTTCGAATTGCGCAAAATTGTCGAATTTGGGGCTCCAAAAATCCTCATGCAATCCATGAAAAACAAATGCACCCACAACGAGCTGTCTGGTGCGGACTTTGGTTAGGCGGCGTGATTGGGCCTTACTTTTTTGAAGATGAAGCCGAAATTTCAGTGATTGTGAACGGCATTCGTTACAGGAATATGATAACGGAGTTCTTGTGACCTCATCAACTGGACGACATGAATCTGGACAACACGTGGTTTCAGCAGGGCGGCGCCACCTGTCACACCGCGCATGAAACAATCGACTCATTGCACCAACAATTTCCAGAACACATTATCTCAAGAAATTCTGATGTCAACTGGCCACCGTGCGATTTAACGCCGTGCGATTTTTTTTTGGGGTTTTTTGTAATCTCGGGTTTATACGAATAAACCAAAAACAATTCCTGAACTCAAATCAGAGATCCAGCGCGTCATCGGTAAGATACAGCCACATCTCTGTGTAAAAGTCATGGAAAATTTCATGAAAAGAGTAATGGCCTGTCATCAGAGCTGTGGGGGCCATTTGCCGGATATTTTATTCCATACTTAATCGGAACATCGCTTCTTTACAATCCAATAAAAATATCACAACTCTTTCATAAAATACGTGTTTTTATTTAAAAATGAAGAGCACTCTCACTGAGACAACCTGGATTACCTAGCAAGTTCGTTGCATGTGGTACGTAATGATCACCCAGTGGCGTATTTTTTAATTTAACCCGCACAAGAAAATTGTCATCACGTAAATTATACTATAGAAAACTATAATAGCAATAATTGCCTTACACATTTTACACACGGACGTCTGATCCCAAACTAGGCTGAACCTGTTCTATGGTAACCAGAATGCTGATATTATTCAACGGTTTTTGTAGTTCTGTATTTATATTTAAGATTTTATTTTAGAAATTAAACTTTTGGTAATTTCTACCCATTTTGTACACATTAGACAAGAAAAGGAAGATAGGCAAGGCAAGAAAATAACCTTTACTTGACTTACAGCCAAAATGAGACAATGCCGCCCCCATTATCATCATATCATCATCATCATCTTACTATTGATGTTCTAGGAGGTGCACGAGTTTCAAGAGTTCATGAAAAATAGTAGAAATCGATATGGTGGATGGGACGAATATCATCATAACATTTTTGTCAACATGTGGCAGAAACATTTTAGCGCTGAATTTCTTTACGAAAGTGTTTTAACAATGGAAAAAACATCAGAATATAATTTATTTCTACGTCACCTGCTGCCAAAATTAATAGGTTGTTTTTAATTTTTATTGTTGAATTTTTCAAATAATTTTTAGTATCTGCGAGTATTGACGATTTCATTGTACAATAACAGTACAATAAAAAACACATTTTAATTGAAAAATCAATGATGATTTGGATGGTGTTAAACTTCTGGATATTCAGAAGGCTATTAAAAGGTTTATTAAACCCAAACTACTCTGTTAATAATAAAATACATACATACAAATACATACACATATAAATAAATGAAAATATATTGTAAATGTTGACGAAGTCGCTGAATCTGTACTATATCGGTAATCGGCATAATCAATTGCGCAATGTCCGGTTCATCGTCATCATCAACGGCCTTTACCTAAAACAACTAGCTGTGACCCTGTCGTAGATACAGTCCACTGCTGGATAGGCCTCTACTTAAAAAGGAGGTTTTGACCTACTATACCACGCTGGCCAGACGGGTTGTCAAAGGTTCAAGTTTTCCTTTTCTTGTCCGGTTACAATACAGTAATATTTAGTGATCTTAGTTAAAGAAATATAATGGTATGCTAAACTTTCTCAGGCGTAAGTGAAGCAGAAGTTACATCACACATCAACTGGTACATCAAATTTCTTCATCTAAAAGACCACCAACAAAAAGCTATTGACAAATGGCGGTCAAATAGAAGAAAGATGAAGCCGTCGAATGTAAGTATAAAAGTAAATAATATTTTTCATTGTTAGATATTGCTTTATGTTTCGCTAAAGGAACGAGTTAAAAGACCTAAAATAAAATATGAATAACATTCATGAAAATTGTCCGAAATTAAAATTGCAAATCTAGATACTACAATAGTGACAGAGACCCACCCGAGGAGGAGGAGGGAGAGAGTTTTTCAACCATGGTCAAGTCTAATAAACTTTGTTAGTTCATAACCTATTCCTGATAAATTTACTTCCTGTGCAGATGCAAAAAGATAACTACTATAAAAATAAAAGTATTATGAAGAAAACACACACAGGTGTGTGCAATGACAATATTGACAAAAGAGGTGAATATACAATTGTTACTCTTTGATCTGCATGTATTGTATACATCACGATTCGTTGCTAATTGCATATGATACTTCTTCACAGCTCAGGATGATTTAATCCACCAAGATGATTTAATGTTCGAAAATGGAGAAAGTCGGTAAGACAAATTGTTTATAAATAAGGAATATATATATTTTTCAGGTACCTATCAGTAAATCTATGTCTATAAAATCATAATCATATTTATTTGCAAAAATATCGTGACAAATGGTGTTGCAATGGGGAGTAGAAGATAAAAATATTCTTTACCAGAATAGTGGCATGCAAAAACATTAAATAAAATCAAAATATTTATGTCAAGCAGAGTTTAAAAAATAAACGAAAAAAATAGTTCAATTTAATACAAACAATTAAATAAGATGTCATAGGGCAGAAAAAACATAATAATAGTTACAAGCTTAGGCAATTATAAATTGAAAATAGTAAGTCAATTGTCATCCAAATGAATAATTAATAAATGTTTTGCTATTACAACCAAAGCAACGAGGCCTAATGAAAATTTAGAGTATTGTTCGCAAAGAGACGTTAATCTAGTACTCGTAATAATATAAATAAGCTTAAATGTCAGCGTGTAATTTGTCGTTTAGATAATCCGTGAGAGTATAATAGCATTTGTTTACCAATAATTCACTTATTTTTTTCTTAAACATATTACAGTCTGCTTCCCTCACTGTTTTTGGCAGTTTATTGTATATAAGGGATGCCATATGGAAAATACTTTTACGCAACAATGCAGTATTAGTTTTACGCACACAAAGTCGATGCACATCTCGCTGTCGTCTGTTATATAAATCTGAAGCTAACATAAATAAACCTGGATTACGTTTAACAAACATAGCCACTTCGAATATGTATAAACAGGGCAAAGTTAATAGTTTGTTTTTAAGGAAGTACGAACGACAGCTGTCTGTAGTTTTCAAGGCAAACATAGCTCTAACAAATCATACGTAACTTTAAAAAAGTATCATGTCCTTCAATGTGTGTACATCGTGATGAATTGAAATAAACTGAATGTAACCCACATATCTTAATTTTCCAAAGGATTTCCTAAAGCTAGTACGGTATCTTTTTCTTCAAATTTGAATGAAACCAAACAGGAAGCATAAAATAAATAAAATATCCATGCTTATTCTAAATGAATTTCTAACGTTAAGGTAAATTATCAGTGCTGAACGGTGTGCGATTTCGTGACTGTTTTTATTTCAATAAGTAAGGTTACTTCCAAAGTACCTTTTTTTATAAAGCACAATAACAGTTAAGTAAACTCATAAATTACTCATTCTAGATAAACAAATAAATACACTTTTCACAAATCTTTGAGAGATCGCTTGGTATCTCTAAAATTCTAACTCTACACACAGCAAAATAATATATTTTTTATCAGTGAGTCAAAAGTGCCAAAATTTCTATTTCACAAAAGTCCATGCCGTGATCAGACCCTTGTTTGAGACAACCGCTTGGTTTCACCACGTGGGATTTTCGACAAAACCTTGGTTCACTCTTGTATAAGAAACTATCGCGCCTTCTTCTCTCTGTTGTTATTTATTTTAGTTTCATACTCTCCACTAAAATAGTGACAAAATAGGTTCCAAACGTAGTAGCAGAAAAAACTGCCCCAAAGACAACATAAAAAGTAATTCCTCTTCTAAAGCTGGCATAGCTATACATTTCAAGCATGCACTTCAAAAAATGTAAGACATAAATGTAATAGAGGTTTTAAATTCATGTTTCAGGTTTTCAGTAAGATTTACTAGAAAATGCGTTAGCGATGAAATGCAACATGAAAGTATGACAAACAAAGAATTCGTAGAAAGTGATGAAGTAACAAAGTTTCATTTCCTAAAAACTACAAGACAATGGAACATTAGATGTTGTAATGAAAATGTCAAGAGTGAAAAGGAATTTACTAACATCGAAAATATACAGAAACTGTGAGTACGATATGATTAGTTTCTAACATTTAGTTTTAGTAAGCCTTCATAACCTCATTCAATCTCAAGCATTGCTATTTGGTTTCACCTAGTCACGATGTCATTCAGATTTAGAGAGCTATGACTACGCAACAATAATTAATTTCGGAATCTTTTTATAAGTAGGTACGTGGGGTCTACTGATAGTATCTGGATCTGGCTACTTACAATAAAAGAATGAAAAAACAATTATGAAATTCAAAAATGGAACTCTTTAGGAACATGTTACTTTTTGATTTGCGAGACAGTACCTAATTCGTTTTTTCATTGTGACGTCCTTTCGAAAATTGTGTGTCGCTATCAAAATGAATTTAGCTCGTAAACATTTTCGTTCAATGATTTCTTAATGGATTTTCGTTTTGGCTTAAGTCAACAAAAGAGTTGCCAGAGACTTCAATTGGCATTTGGTGATGAAGCACCATATCGCAGCTCTGTGTATTCGTGGTTTGGAGAATTTAGACTTGGACGTGATCATCTCCATGACGAGGTATGTGAAGGTCGGTCGGCGACTGCGGTTGCAGACTTTAGTTTTGACACCGTACGCCAAGTTATTGAAACTGGCAAAACAATTACTTGCCAAAAATTTCGTGCTTTGTTAGGCATTAGAATGAGCCAAGTGCAAAAAATTTTAAATGTGCATCTGAAGGTTCGGAAGCCTTGAACTCGATGGATTCCGCATGACTTAACTTTTACAGTATTTTAAGACTGGTCCAACTGCTTTGTACAGTGGTTTCAGCGAATGCAAAAGTGAATTAATTGCGATCGAATATACTTTAAAAAACAATAAATGTCTTGTACGTCTTATATGTATCTAGTCTTATTTATCAGAATCCAGAATCTTTCAGTATGCCCTAAGTACAGACTACAGAGCACCTTTTGGTCTATCTATATCTATTAAACAAGAAACTGACAGATTGATTCATTGACTGATCGATCAACGCACACCTGAAACCGCTCTCTAGAAGCATGATTTTTTTCAAAATTGTTCGTTAGGTGACGTAGGTGTGCACTAAGAATTTTCAAAATAGGGGTTTGAAGGTTATTTGAAACTTCGTGTTTTTTGGTAATAGCTTTTTCAAACTTACAGTAAATACTCTTTATTAAAACTAATAAAAAACGTTTTACTATTTTTTTTAACTTGTAGCCGTTTACTGCAAGTTTGCATGGGGAACTATTTTGGAGTTTATTTCTTTTGAATAGACTTTCATATAAGGCGGCGGTATGAAAAAATATGAAGAGTAAAATTTTGTGATCGAATGATCTCTTTACATTTTTTGTGCGCAACCTATCGTGTGCACCTTTCACATGTCGCACCCTCAGTGCAACAAAGTCACAAGTAGGCAAAATTGCCAAAATGACTTAAGTATGCCAAATTGTCTATAAACCATTTCTTCGTTTGGGAAATCAAAGACAGCCGCGAAATTATTTGAATATATCGATATATGGCATTAGTGCCTTTGTCGTTCTTGCTACTTTTTCGACGAATATTTGGAGAACAGAGTATGATTGGTAAGTAGTGACCCTGCGCCCGCATGAGTCAGTCGTGACTTGGAGCTACACCGGCTTAAAGGTATTAATGTCAATTTTTATTCACGTATATTGAAATAACAAAGTGCCATTATAACGCTTAAATAATTAAATTATATTTGTACCTGGTGCGACATAGTCACAAGTTACGACTTTTTTTTGTTTCCTTTTTTTTTAATTTTCTAATAAATTCAAAGAAATCTTTTTACATGATACTGTAGTTAAAAGAACAAATAATATAATTTTAATGAGATATCCCGGCTGCTGTAGGTAGTAATCTAGAAAAAAGGAAAATTGATCGAAAAAAAACTTAAAAGTCCGTTCCTGTAAAATTACAAAATGACCTGTTGAGACTTTGTTGCACCGAGGGTGCGATGTGTGTATATAACTTGTGTACTTGTGTGCAGCCGAATTGTTCTTAATGAGTAAACTCCAGTCGTGTGTCGGAGCTGTCACACACACTTTTTTTTAACTTATTGATCCTAAATTATCAGTATAATTATATTCTCTATCAAAAATAAAAATAATTAAACACCTATTTTTTTAACTTTCAAAACGTAACTATGTTTGTTACTCAATTACGCCAAAACGGCTTTTTGGATCTGGACGAGATTAGGCACATAGATAGATTATAGTCGGCTTCGCTCGCGTAAATGTTAATTTTGTGACTAAAATTTATTGACATAATTGACATTTACGCGAGCGCCAAAGCAAGTACAGAATAATCTGAAAAGTTGGTATCACAATCCCTTTCTTCAGTAATCGTCGTCGTCGTCGCTATTATAGCCCTAGTACGTCACTACGGTCTAGTGAGTGCAATATAGTGTTTATGACAAATTATTAAGAAATATTTCCTTTTCAGGGGTACTCCTTCGTGGAGAGCTGGTTTGTAGAATTTTCATTTAAATGTAAATTCCTATTTTTTTAGTATTTTGTTCAAAATATTTAAGTAATATATTTAACAAAACATTTATTTATTATAAGTATTATTTTTCCAAAATAATGAACACATGTAAAGAACATATTTATGGTTCTTAATAAGACCATCATACTTAATTAGAATATCTTTACGCACATTTGTAACGTTTTCAGTAGACCTTCCTAACTTCACAGTAAACCTTTTATTAGTTTCATAGATTCTTTTCAGCTACATTTTCTATTGCACCAGAGAGAATCGACACAAAATTAATTAATCTGAAAATAAATTATATTGTCTCACTCGCATTCTTTTCAGTTATTTGTTTTTGGCAGAAGCACTTAAACACTGTTTTTGTACCCCTTTCATATTTCATTAATATTGAATTTACCATGGTATCACATACCATGGTAAATTCAATAGTACCAAATCAATAATACCATGGTATACAATATACCATGGTATCACTCTGTTTAAAATAATTTGGTGAATTTACAACTACCAGAAGGCCAATTCTCGTAATAAAAGTTCGGTCACATTTATACAAGAATTGGCCTTTAGGGCGATCGGTTATCACTCTTATTTTTCAATCGACTCTATTTGTACTTGGTTGTAACTTATATAATGATATGATCTCGTCAATTATCTTTTTTTTACCTTCTGTAATTGCTGACTACAATTTTGCATTGTAAATCCAACACGAAATTTCACATCACATCACATCAACAGCCTTTAATAGTCCACTGCTGGACATAGGCCTCTCCTTAGAAAGGAGGTTTTGGCCTACTATACCACGCTGGCCAGACGGGTTGGTATAGGGATTGTATCAATTTTTCCTTCTTTTTGCAGTGCTGGTGTCCTGCGTTGTTTTGCGCCCTTAGTCGCCTCTTACGACACCCACGGGATGAATTGGGGTAGTGACATTCCGTATTCTTAATCCGTCACTACACGTCACTACACACACAAATTTATTTGTTACGAAAATATGTTTTATGGCAGTTTTGAAATCGAGAGTTGATCGCAACTGAATTGTGACCGAACTTTTAATACGAGAATTAGCCTATTGATTGTACTGGCTGACATGTGCTGATTGATATGTTTGATTTTAACAATTCAATCAACATATTATATCCATTTCTTCATGTTACATTGTTAGGATTCCTAACTTAATATATGTACGAATGTAAAAATTTTGGAACAAGGTAAATATTTAATTATAAACAAATACGAAATTACCAGTCACCATAAATACTCTAAAAAACTTTGAGTGCGGTAGACTGGCCACAGAATAGGCTAATATCCTCTTGGATACAAGGTCACTCCTAGAAGCCAGGGAACGCCCCTAGAGGCTTCTGTGCTTCTGGAATGCTGGAATGCTGTTTCACCGAGTCAACCCTTATCTTCACGCATAATGGATCTAATTAATGTAAATGCGAAAATAAAGCCTTATAGAGCCTAGAGATTATTAAAAGAAAATGGGTTTCAATTATTAACACTTATACGCTCATGTCTTTTACGTTTCGTCGATGTTGTAAAAAGTACGTAGAATTTGTGTACTACCTTCGTTTCTGGACAACATTAATGTAGTTACGGATCAGTGGATCAAGGTTACATACTGTTTTTTTTAATCCTATTTTAAGCCAAATTGGAAATAACTGCTAGTTAGTAGTAACTAGTCTAGTAGCCAAAGTAGAAGTGTGTACATCAACATATTAGGTACATGTTGATGTACACACTTCTGATTTGTGAATTGTTTTTGGAAGAGTGTGACGAAATCGTTCCACTGGTTCCATAATATCTTGGACGAATCAATCAAAAAAGCTGATAGACCTACATGAAGTCGCAGATTAGCCTGTGCAGCGCCAGTAACTAATTTATATTTAATGAAGAGTAGATAACTAATAATGAGTTTCTTCGATTATCTATTACTGATTATGAAATGCGACTAGATTTCCATCCTAAGAGACTTGAAGCCCCTGATATGTGTTGCTCCAATCAAGTGTTCCCATGGCTCGAAGTTAATTAATAACTATTGTATTTTATCGAATGGCGTCACTTTTTTTTTTTTTTTTTTTTTTTTTTTTTTTGAAAAAACACCCATAAAACACGTATTGGTTTATCTTGGGTGTGAGTGTACATTCCTCATTCCTTTATGTTTCGTTTGTTTATTCACTATAATAACAATAATTTTAATAGAAATACACTGGTAGCAGTACAATAAATAAATAAAAGGTGCAGGGTAGGTAGGCGTACAAATCTTCCAAGCGTTTGTTGACCGGTATGGTTGTTTACGTTCGATAACAGTATGTTATTCGCACCTACTTTTACTACTACCTACTTTTACGAGTTCGCTTAGAGTCTATATAGGATGATTGGTAACTAGTACTTTTTAAATAATATAAGTGCATTAATTATTTTAAAGGCATATGCATATATTATATATCAGATGTATTTATTTATAAATTATATAAATTGTAAAGGTTCATTTTAGCTTACTGTTTGCAGATAGGTAAATATTTTTG